GCGAGAGAATGACGCAGCCCACGTCGCCGACCATGCCAGGGGTGCCGGCATCGGACGAAATGGCTCTGCGCGTACAAAGACCTCCATGGCGAGCGAGGTGGTGACCGGGATGCTGACGATCGACGCCATTTGAGACGGGCATTCGAGTTGGCCTCGGCACCGTGGTGTCACACCCGTCCTTGATACGTTGATAGAAAAAGACTTGGTACCCGACAAGTTTGTCGTCAAGCGCAACCGGCATCTGACGTTCATTGCCACGAAAACCTCGAGCGCAGCGAGGCAGACAGTTTGCGTCTGGAGCGCATCGCTCGCCGACGGTGTGGCGCTAGGAAAGAAAAACGAAGTGTTGATGCCCTTGGCGTCACACTTAGCACGAAAAGCACAGACGCGGGACAACATCCGTGTTCGAATCACAACACGAGATACCAGAACGCGCCGCCACCGTGGGCATGAAATTACTTGAGCAAAATACCTAATTTCCAGAATAGTAGGATCAACGCAAACGCCCTCGGTGATCATATATATGCGTTATCTTCATTATGACACAAAGACTTCGCATACGTAGCGCTACGCCTGAATGCGTGGGAGTTGGCTCCAGCACTTCGTCGTTGGGAGTGAGCTGCGTACGGAGAGATCCATCCTGGTGATCAAAGACATGTAAATTAAAAGGAAATGAACTCTAAAAACGCAGTGCGATCCTGCGAGAGCTGGTGGCGGCACAGAGGGCACTCGTCGTGCGTTGCGAGCCAAGGGTCGGCACAATGGCGATGAAACGCGTGCTGACACGGCAGCGTCACAACTAGCGCATCGCTTTGCGCCGCGAACGGGTCGAGGCAAATGACGCAGTCTGCGTGCCACGCCGTGGTGCTGCTCTCGCTCCACGGCGCCGACGTCAGCGCATGCACAAACCGCCGGCGGGGGGGTACTCTGGTCGGGTGACGGACGCGCGCAGCTTTGGCAGGCGCGCCCGACGTTGCTCGTTGTGTTGCGGAGGTAGACTGTCGCGCTGCAGCTGTGGCACACTATGTCGCCGCAGACGCGGCAGTGGTGACGCCGGCGCGTGAGCGAGAAGCCCTTGGTGCACTCCTTGCACGAGCTGCGGTCGGAGTCGCGGACCCATGCACGCCGGTCGCACGCCTCTCGAACTTGTACGCTGTGGGCTTCCATAAGAATGCAAAGTGCTGTCGATTGATCATTCGACGATCGAGTGGCGCGAAAGTGCATTTGGGACAAAGGGCGCCGAATCTCGCACGTGGCAGCCTGGGCAGCAGCTGGGCCGCCTATACCTCGCACGTGTGGGCCACCTGCGGTTGCAAACTCTGTTTTGAAAACGCTGGATGCACGCGGTGTGGGCAAAACTGGGGTTTGTCCCGGGAGCACCGTCTGGAATGATGACGTCATGCAGAATGTACAGACGGCAACAACTGGTGCGGACCGGAAATGATATATCGAATATCGACGACATTTCGTTCTCTTTTGCGAGACCTGGTCTCGTTGCTGATGCGGTTCGCGTGCGCGGCTTTCGAGCTTCCGAAATCTGAATGCAGCGTGTGGACGGAAGCGACGGATGGGAAATGAAAACCGCATTATCGTTTGCGGGACCGGCTGACGAACTTGAGCGCGGCATTTCGAGTACGCACAGCACACGTAACCACGTCCTCCTCGATTGCGGGGCCACAAGGCCATTATTTCTCTGCAATCCCATAATATTGTACTTGGGAGTCAATGCTGATCCACCAATGAAATTGGACGCCATCGGCGACTGCAACCAGGGCCCATGGTGCGATATCTCATCTTCTCTCGATGCAAAGACTACGATTGTACTATTGCTCGCAACTTGCGTGCCCCACGAGCTTACGAGCCGACGTGCGTTTGATGGAGCAGCGCACATTTACGTGGTAGAAACATCCACAACGACACGGTGAAACGCGCGATACTGGCTTAGCAAACATAATCACATCAATATATTTCACGTCTCTTATCGATGGAACAGAGATTGTTCGCGCCACCTTGACCACGACAGCTCCGATGGTCTCGCAACTGTGGGCTTGCCACGTGGGGCGTGGAGCTTCAACTTTAGCTGTAGCCAATGAGCGACCCGATCCTGGTATCTTGGGGCAAAATTCCAGCATTATTGACCAATCACATGAGATCCATCAAAATTGCTCCAAGGTTCGACACTGCCAAATGCATTCAGTATTCGCCACGTGCGCTGACCATAGTCGAGTAGATACGACCAAGTCACACGCCAATCCGCGCCTGGATCCCGGCTGCTTCGTATCTCGGCAAGGTGACAACGGGAGGAAGGGCCGGAAGGATTTTTTTACATCCGCCGGAGGGAAGGTTGCATGGTTGGTGCAGTTGGGCATCTCGTCGGATGCAACTCATTGGTCCATCTTATCAGCGCTCCGGTGGCGGTTGGATGCGCAGTTTCATCGACGGCCACTTGAAGTGGAAGAATCGTCCTCGTCGATCGGGAGAGATGCAAATCTCCACAGTTTATAGTTGGCGAAGTCCGACCGCACTGCGACTGGTCCCATGCACTGGACTTGCCCTTGAAGCTTCAGATCAAGTCGCAAGCGCACCTTGGCCAGCCGCAGATTCGTGTGTACCTCCCGAGTAGCTTGACGCCAGTCTTGGGACGCCTGTGTGGTTAAATTCAGCGCCTACGATTGGCTCGCTCAAGGCTTCCGTGCGTGGGCAGCAGGAGAAATAGAGATGTTCTGCAACTCTACACGGTATTTTGCGTTGACGTTGCTGACCAGAAATGCATCGATTTTCGAATGCAATACCAACAGCAACTGCAAGGCGAAATCAAGTCGACCCACACATCATTTGTTAGGCTTCCATCGTAACGTCAGCAATAGTGTTAGGAACGCGTGACCCATAACAACGTCGCATCCAGTTGCCCCACGCGTCGGTCCTGTCCGTGGATCGTGGCAAGAACCGAGTCTCGAGTACTCTCTTGGTGGCGACGTGTGGCCGGAAGGATTGACTTTTGTTCGCCAAGCAGCTTGAGGAGGCATAGCGACGCCCTGTGCTCAATTGTCAAGTCGACGTCATTAATAGTGGCAACGTTGAAAGCGACGCACAGCTGTTTGAGGACAATGTAAAAAGCTAAACTTTTGTTTATCAACATATCAAAATGAATCTTCTATTTGTACAATATACGATACGGAACTTTACGGCGACATTTTTTGCCATCGAACGCCAAAGCATGAGGCGACCTCCGTGTCGTCGGCGACGGTGACGTTGACGTGCGGCGGCCGTCTCCTGTACTGCAGTGCCTTCTTGAGGAGCCGCGTGTTGTGGTCATCGTCGTCGTTCTCCGAGAGCTGCTGGAGCATGCTTCGAAACACACTGTCCGTGCGCGCTTTCACGAGTTCGTCCGAGTAGACAAGGCTGATGCACCGCGGCGACGCGACTTGAGTCGACATGCTCTTCTTGTGGCGCAAATTCAAAAATGATTCGTGAATGTGTCGGGGAGTAAAATTCGGTGGGCAGTAATCAAGCGCACTACCGGTACAATGCCGCGGCTTCAAGTCCATACATTGTCGCCGTCGTGGGAGGATGACCACTGCAAGCAGTGGGATACGCGCTGGGCACTGCTGTGAAAGCTACTTGAATAGCATCTCGTACATGCACCATCTTGCACGACATGCAAAATGGACTCGAGCGAACTGCAATGCAGCGTGACGGTGGTGGGCAGGGTGGAGCCAGCACGAGGGCGCTGCAACGACGAGAAGAACGTTCGTCGCTGCGAAAAACAGGCGCATGGCGTGCACTTGCACAGACCTCTTGGCATACACATAGTCGCACGCGAATGGCCACCGATACGAATCAGCGTTGGTCGCATTGCGCCATGGCGCTGCCACGTCATGGCGGCGAAACCGACTTGCTTCAACTTGAAACCATCGCATAACCGTACGTAACTTTTTACGGCGAGTGAGAGATCGAGTATGATGGCAGGCTTTTGGACCGGCAAGAATCAGTGCTGGAACAAAGCATGCTTCGGTGCCCGCTTCGAAGCTCGAAGCGATTCGTGCAGATACAGCAATCTCAGCCGAGAAGATCAGCCTGTATTGTTATGCATTAAATTAACACGGCGGCGCGCGCTACTCGTCGTCGTCGCTCGGCACCTTGTGCCACTTGACGCCAAAGCAAGCCGCGACCTCGGCCTTCTTGGTGTCGTCGCCTGTCGGCATCTCCTTTTGGCGGTACTTGAGCGCGCGCTTGAGGAGTTGGGTATTGTGGTCGTCCTCGTCGTCTTGCGCGAGCTGGTGGATCATGCTCTTGAAGACATTATCGGTGCGGTCTTTGACGCGGTCGTCCGAGTACAAGAGGTGCACGCGCGGCTGGGTCATGCTGGTGATCGCCCCAAGGCAAAAGGCAAAGTGGGTCCATCGGCCATTGAGCCGACAAAGTCGAAGCTGTTGTTATTGCGAGGCACATCCCCCGCGCTTCGATATCGACGCGGCGGCGAGATTGGCCGCGACTTGACGCCAACTTGCGCTCGTTTATGCTGCATCCGCATTCGAACACGACGCGACGGCGGAGATATAACGTGGTTCCGGATGCGTGAGCCGCGCGGGATGGCGACCGTGTCGGAATCTCCACCACCAACCCAGTGGCGTCGTGCCGAGGCCAGCTACTGCACGCTGCCAGTATGCTGTCGCCAGAGTCGCAACCTCCTCGCCCATAGACAGCGTAATCACCCTGTGCGATCGCTTGCCATGTCGCGCGTACCAAGGTTGATATGCGCACGGCCCTCGGGCGATAATCACCGGCGATCGATGCTTCCACCATTTATCTCCACACGCCGACAAGAATCCGACTGCATGCGGTGTGTCGCACCGCAGGTTGGGCTGGAAGACGTGCGTTACGGAACCTAGCCCTGGCTAAAATGATGGGATGCGATAAGAACTGAGAGGTGTAAGTAAGATGGTGCTCGTTCGTGTGGAATAGGGAATAGTAAGTGGTGGTTGTACGAGAATTACGACTGCTGGACGCGGTCCAAAATGGCCTTGAAAAATGGCGGCGTGACCTCAAAGAGGTTGCGCAGGATCGTGTCGGGCGTGTTGGCGGCCACCGACATGTCCGTGTGCTGGTCGAGATGCACCTTGATGCACCACATGACCTCGGTGCCCGACCGGCCTTCCTCGACGCAGTCGCGGAGCATGATGCTAACCACATGCCATCAGTCATTGTCGCAGTCGATACATTGATACATACCCAATGTTTTGGTGGCGGCGAATGTACGACGGCGTCTGCGGCCAGCTCGGGTCGTCGGGGACGCTGCGCGACGCAATGTAGACGCAGTTGGCCATCGCGCGGCGCTTCACCGCGTGGAGACGCTCGGCCTTGACCTTGGTCGCGCCGTTCTTGTCCGGGCTCGGGAGCGTCAGGTTCAAAATCGCACGAATGTACTTGGTGTCATTGTCGATCGCGTCGAGGACTTCGTACGCCTCGGTAAAGCCAAAGTCCTGGTTGAAGTTCTTGCACGTCATGAGCTCCCAAACGCGGTCGCTCACGGCCATGTGGTTGGCGCCCGGCAGCACGTGGCGAAGGAAGATGTGGATGTGGTCCTTGTTCATCTCGTACTGGACCGTGACGCCGAGGTAGCTCATATTGGCGACCTTGGGCTGCTTGAAGAGCTGCTCGCCGTACTGCACCGACTCGATGCACACGTTGATCGCTTCGTCCGCGACCTTGAGGAGCGAGTCCCGGAACGAGACCGTCGGCAGCTGAAAGAACGACGACGACGGCATCGACGGCGGCGGCATGAGCGCGGGCGCCGGCGGCGCCGACGACGGTGTCGTTGTCAGCATCTTGTTGAGCGACGGCGCGTTGAGGAGCGGCTGCTTGGTAAAGTAGTCTTGGAGCCGCTGGATAAACTTCATTTGCTCCATGAGCGTCTTGCGCAGGAACTCGTTCTCTTGGTCGACACGCGCGCGGATCTCGGCGTGCTGCTCGGCCTCCTGCTTCCAGCCCGACTCGGTGTCGTGTTCGGACGGCTCGGAGCTCTGGAGCACTTCAATTTGCTCTTTCAGGTCCTTCACCTTCTCGCGAAGTGCAACGAGCTCGTCCTTCTGACGCTGCCGATGCTTGCGCGCAGCCTTGGCAATCTGCTCGCGGCGGCGCGCCTTGCGCTGCTCCTCCGTGTCAGCGGCCGTGCCCGTGCCGGTCGCCGACGATGGGCTGTCGGGCGCGTCTGGGTTTGACTGCGTGTCGCTCGGCGGCGCCTTGCGCTTCTTGGAGGCCGGTGCCTTCTTGGCCTTGGCGCCACCAGTTGCGGCCGGCATCGGCGACTGGCTTGACGTCGTTGAGACTGGCGTGAGTGCAACGTTCATCGGCGGCGGCACCATCGACGGCATGCCCTGGCCCATGTAGCCGCCGTGCTGCATGTAGCTCGAGCCATCAAAGCCCATGCCAAGGTCGGCCATCATCGGCATGCCCGACTGGCTGAGCGCGGGCAAGCCCATGCCCATGGGGCGGCCGCCCGCGCCAGGCATGCCTGGGTGGCCGGCGCCGTTGTTCATGCCCGGGTGGCCGGGCGGGCCCTGGTTCGGGTGGCCGTAGTTGTGGTAAGGGTCCATGTCGTACGTCTACTTCTACAGAGATCGTGAGCCATTGAGATGATGACGCCGAGAGCGTACCGCGTTGAGATTACGGCAAGGAGGTCGGCGCGTGATTACTAAGCCAGCGACGCGCTTGTGATTACGAAATCAAATTCGAAACTGAGCGCTTTTGTGCCTCACCCGCCAATCGCACCACCATACAAACACCAAGGTATTTCACACCCCGACCCCTACCGACCAGACATATCCCAATCGAGGATTATGATTGGTCAAAAAGCCGGCGTTTCCCCATCGCATGCAAATAGTATATCTCAGTCTATTTACCACTCGTGCCACCATGAAATCGTGTGCAAAAGTACTATGAGTATTTGTATGAGGAAATACCGCTTGGCAATAGTGTGAGGGGAACGGCCTGCAAGTGATACACTATTTCATGTATTCTAGAACTGGACGTTGCGGCCTCCGATGGTCGAGTGCAGCCGCCAAATTCTCCAAAGCGTCTCTCTAGGCCGTACGCTGCAGCTCAAATCTTGCGATAGCCCTTCGAGCCTGCACACGCTGGTACCACGCGTGCGTAAATACCGTGAAAAGGCCTCGAAAGCGCTTCGGAGGCGTCGCAGAGATCGTACATGGCCGCCTCCAGCAACGTTTATACTAGTATGTCAGCGGCTTGCCAGGAACGGTGAGCGTAGTGCTACGTTAATAGTGTTAAATTGATTAAAGTTGCCGTTTCCCCATCAATGGGACTGCGTGCTGAGCGCGATCGTAATCCCATTGAGTGCTACAATGATGGAGGCAGTGCCCTCCTTGTCGTTGGCCCTGCGGCAGCGAATGCATTTGGGCAAGAAGGACACACCATCGACCACCAACATACAGTATTTCGGTGCAATATGGAATGATGGTCAATTTTCGGGAAATTGGGACGGTGCTGGGAACTACACGGCGGCCATATCAGACTTCGGCGATCTTGGCAGACAGGCGGGCAGTCGGTCAGCAGCGGTTACTCGAGCGCATAGAACGGCAGCGGCGCCGACGGTGGACGGGCTGCGATGGCGCCGTCGAGTTGCCCTATCGAAGTTGTCGCGATGGCGGCGTCGACGACGGTGGTGAGCGTGCCGCTTGGCAGCGCCAGCAGGCCGATGCGACCGGCGTATTCCGTACAGTACACGCCGGCGCCAGAGGCCAGAACGTGCACATGGCGGGGCCAGCTAACGCAATATTCCAGCGTTATCACGCGCGCTCGGCGTCATGCATACCTGAGCACCGACTGCGGCGACCCACCGAGAAGCACTTCGCGTCGCAGCCGCGTGAGCGACGTCCGCGCGACAACGTTGGTGTTGGCCTCGCTCCAGTAGAGGCGCCTACCGTCGCGCATTGTAGAGTCATCTGAGTGTGTCCATTCCACCGCACCCATCGGGGCCTAGCGCGATGCCATTGAGGCGCGCGAGCGAGCTCACGGCCACGAGGCGCCGCGCGACGGCCGGCGGCGTCGCGCGTGACGGGCCATAGACTGGCATCCCACTGCTGGCGACGGCCCATATCGTGCCGCCTTTCGCGGCCACATACAACGTCGTCTAGTTGCATCGGATTGGTTCGTGGTGTTGGACGACGTAGTACTACGTTGGCGGCGTCGAGACAGAGCCCACGCGGCGACGCCAGCCCCGAGACGATCGGCGTCACGGCGCCCGACGTCGTGTCGAGCCGCGAAATGGTCCCGTTGGCTTCGGCGGCAATGTATACGGACATGCCCACGACAGCAAGGCCATGCACCGCCCACACCTGCGCAGTTGTCAGTCGTACTCGGAGGTGATCGGAGACCACTGTCGTACCGTCGCTAGCAGCTCGTGCATGGCGTACGAAGTGACGTCAACGCGGTAGACACGGCCGTTGGCGTCGTCCGAGAAGACGAGCCAGCGGGCGTTTGGATCGTACTGGTCGATGGCCAGCGTGTGTGGGTTGAGATGCGTCACGCGCGTTGCAATCGAGCGCACGAGGGGCATGGCGAGGCCCTCGGACAAGACGAGGCTGTCGAAGTTGGCCTGAACGCCTAAGCAGCGACATATTGACGTCGTGCTGTGGTACGTATGAACGCACCAGTGGTCGTGCCCGCGGACGTGGTCATCGTCATAGCACTCGGCTCGAGGCTCGTTGTCGACGCGAGTGTCCGCACCGGCCGCGCCATGACGCAGGTCACTTGGGTGCGCGACCACGCCGTGATGCGGACGCACGGCACGCCTTCCACTCGCAGTGCGACGTCGTCCGGGCCAACTCCAAAGTTGGCGCCTGTCCACGTCACCTGCACCATGGCGCCGACGTATATCTATACGGAAATGCGAGTGCGCAGGAGGACGAAGCTCGTACGTGGCGGTCGCTGCCGTCGAGGTTGGCCCGCCAGATTGCATTGCCGTCCGACCAGTAAAGTCTGCGCACTAGCTCTTAGGTGCACAATGTGCTGTAGACTGTCGCACCTGGCGCCGGCTTCGTGCACCGTAAAGCCCAGTAGCTTTGTCCAGCTTGGGTCGTCACCGATGACGACGCTAACTTGGTTGATATCGCGCGCCACGAGGTGCGTGTCGGTGCTGTCGCGGTAGTACACGGTGCTGCGGTGCGCCAGCACGACATGTGCGACGCCAAGGATCGCGTGCAGCAGCCAGCCCATTTCGCCGTTACACGCCAAACTCAACCAAATTTCCTTGCACGCTTGGCACTTAGTCATCACTCGACAGAGACTCTCGCGATGGAGTGCCTCACAAAGCCGCCGCCTTCACATCGGAAGTCGACCCATTCCAAGCATTCCAAGCGCGATAGGCAAATGATTGAGCGTCCAAGCGCGCTTGACAAGACCGGACTACAATCGACTGACATCAATGGAAGCAAAACGGTGGCCCGGCGGAGCCTCTAGCTCAACGAGTGGTTGTACCAGCTCTATCCTACTCAACGCGTTCAATAGCTCTGCGTCAATGACTACCTTGCGCTCCCGAATCGATCATCGACGATAACCTGTAGCATCCTTCATAAGACGTCGTACAAGCACATCTGTCACCGCTTTAGTCGTAGCTCGACCTCTTTCAACGGCGGTACTTAACGTGGTGTGGCCTCAGGGGCACTGGCTCCAAGACGCGCGAGCTGCATCGTTGTACGCACTCAATGTTTCGACGAGTTGGTTTCGCGACGAGCCTTGCTCCTGTGGGTAACGAGGCAGAACTCTTGCGGGGTCACCTTGCACCAAGGGTGGTGCCGAGTGGTGTCGGACTTGATTCCGCATCCTCGCGGGCTGCAAAAGACGTTGACGTGCTCGACGGTGCCTCAGATCGCTTCTTGAATACAAGCTTGGCGCTTTGGTTGAGCAGTTGACAGACGCGGCGAGGACCGACCGGGAGAGAATTCTGGACGCTGTACTGCTGCATGATTGGCTGAGTTTGGATTATTTTAGCCAATCAAACGAGCGTAAATTCTTGAGAACGCCTCGGTATGCCACGTCACCGCCTTCTGAATCCCTGGCAGCTCGGGCAACGGTCACTTGAGCGTCTCGACCCACACCCGCCTTGCCCTGTTCATGACACACGATGTACTAGCTCGTCATAAGCGCAAAGCCGGCAAGAGGATCGACCAACATGGTCCTCGAGTTTGCCGCTCCAGTGCCTGCGGACGCGATCGTTGGAGTGACACAAAGCGCCATGCTCCGCTTCCTCGACCTCCGCCATGGGCGACGTCGACCACGATACCTTCAAGGCGCCAAACGACACCAAACCAAATGACAGTTGGTATATTAGATAACTGAATAAATCAAAAAACTCAGTCGCCGATCATCGAGTCGAGAACACGGTCCCACACCGAGGGCTTGGGCACTGCCGCACTGGCACTGTTGCCGCCCTTACTGGTCGAGCTATTGCTGTTGGTGGTGGTGGTACTTGGACCGGCATTCGAGGCCGACCGGACGCGCGACCCTGCGCGGCGGTCTTGGGCGTGCAGCTGCTCCATCTCCCGCAACAATGCGTCTTCGGGGATCTACACGATGCCAGTGTCATTTGTGTGCACATCATATCGTCGTGAGTACCTCGAGGGTCTTTGATTGCTTGGAGGACGAGGCGTGCTCGCGGCGGTCCGACTCGGTGAGCACCTCGACTTGGTGCTTCCAGAGCGCGAGCTGCTGGTTGAGAAACTCGATTTCGTCGGCGTTTTCCTCGACGAGGCGCTGCATCGCGGCGTTCGTTTGCGCTCGGAGCGCCGCCACTGCGTCGTCCACCTGCTTTTTCGTCTTGGCCTCGGCCACGCGCTTGGCGACCTCGATCGACTTGTTGCACTCGGCGAGGCACCGCGCTTCGTGGGCCTTGAGGTAGTGGACCGAGTCGACGCGCGCCTTCTCCAAGTGCGAGCTCAGCGTCGCGGCCGCGGTCGCCGCCGCAGCTTCGGCGGCACGGCGCTCTTTCGCAGTCTGCTGCACGTCCACATGCACGTCTTCGAGCGCGTACTGTAGCGCTTGGCAGCGCTCGACGAGCCGCTCGTTCGCACGCAAGAGGCCCTTGTAGGCGCTGAGCGCGGACGCGTGGTCTTCGCGCACGAGCCGGTTGGACTCTTGGATGACCTGCATGTCCTTGCGCAGCGACGCGTTCTCATTGAGCGCGGTCTGGAGGCTACGAAACATCTTGGCCTACACAACATTCGCTAACTATCGAGGTATCGATCTATCAAGTGGACGCACCTGCGCTTCGAGGAGCGAGTTGAGCTCTGTCGGCGTTGGCGTCGGGTCGTCGCGAATGTGGCGGTTGATGAGCGTTTGGTCCACCGCATCCAAGTTGGGCCCGAGAAAGAGACTGTATTCTATCCAGTCACGATATGAGAAACCTGCAACTCAGGTTTGCGATTTCGTACCGGTAAACCAGCGGAAGGTCAACGCTGTCGGCTGCGACGCGGTCTCGAGGAGCTTGACAACGTCCTTGAACGACCGACCAAACGTCGACTCCTTGTTGACGGCCGTGAGCACCATGCCGCGCTCGAGACGGCGCTCTTGCTTGCGTTGCCTACATGTCGAGAGCATGAGCTCGGCTAGTGCGCCAGATCGTACGGGTTCTTTGGCTCGGGCGCATTAAACAGCTATAAGAAAATCAGAATGATGAGACACGACCACACGCGCGAAGCACGTACCATGGGCGTGGCCGAGAGGTACACGGCGTCCTTCCCGCGCAGTCGGCACCCGGTAAACTGAACGCTCATCGGCCCGGCGGCCGTGCTCCAGATGCCGGTGGCGAAGGCCGTGTCTATTCCAAGATGAGACAACTTGTCCACACTCGTGGCGACGACGTGTACCTGTCGGCTTGGCCTTGGCGGGCGCGCCGTGGAGCTTGGCGAAAAAGTACCCGTGCGAGATCGTGTCCATGACAAAGCCACCGACGTCGTCCCAGGACTCGATCACGTCATCTTGGTTGCTCTCAACCTCCTCGTTGACGTCATCAGGGAGCTGGACTGTATCTGTCCGCTTGCGGCCAAAGGTGTCCGAGAAGACCGACTCAAAGACGCGCATCGGTGTCTGCGGCTCGGTCACGTCCACGGACCCCCCGGCCATGTACACCGAGTTGGCGCGGTCGCTCGTCGCGATGCTCGAGAGCCGGTCGCGCTCCGGCATCTCGTCTTCAAAGTGGTGCGGGCGCGGGTCAAAGCGAAAGGTGAGCTGCATCGGCCGCGCCATCGAGCGCAGTTGGAACAGAATCGAGGTGAATTCCTCGTCCTCGACCGAGACGCCGTTGATATGAGTGAGGTGCGACCCGAGACGAACATGCTGGAGGTCTGTGTCGACTTGGTGCCGCAAAAACGCTTGCACGAGAGCGCCGCGATAGACCGTGATCGTCTCTTCCTTGGCGCGATGCGCCGGGGCGAGACGGAGCCCGAGGCCGGCATCCGACTCGATGGACGACCGGACCTTGGAAGGATACAATGGCGTTTGAGTGAGCCGGATCGTGACTTGCTGGTATGACCATGCAAAGGCTGGGAGCGCCAGTGTTGGTGCGGTCGACGAAATGTACGGGGTGTTGGCGCCCGCAAAGAGAAAGCTGCAGAGCAAGACGAAGAGCTTGGCGTGCGGGTTGGCCTTGGAGGGCGCGGGCAGCGACTGCGCGGCCTGCGCGGCTTGCAGAAGCCCAAACACCTTCTCGAGCCAGGCGTGGAGCTCGACGAGGCGGTCGGCGCATTGCTTGGCGCGGAACATCTGCAGGTACGACCCCGAGAGGGACGGAAACCGCATCGAGGGCGCAAGGGTGTTGAGCTGCGCCAAGAACGCGTCAAAGTGACGGTACCGCCGATGGATCTTCCAGCTACAAGGACGGAATGAGCGCATATGGTCGTATCGGTGCAGCGTACCTTCGCTTCTCGACGGGCGTCGCGCCGAGGGTGCACTCGAATACATACCTAGCATATGACGTGAGTATGAGGAAGTATGTAGGCTGGGCAGCGACGTACATGTCAAAGCCGTCGGACGTGCGATAGTACCCCAGCGGTTGGGCGCGGATCGGCGCCGCGCTGAGGAGCGTCGTGAGCTGGGCACAGTTTTCGACGACGACAAAGTTCTTGTTGAGCTCCATGACGTACGGCTGGGGTAGCTCCATGGCGATGGATGCGTCGTGGTACGCCTGCGCGACGTCGTCGCCCACTGTCATCTCGTAGTCGATGGTCGTCGCGCGCTTCTTCTCCTTGGACGGTGGCGGCTTCTTGCTCGTGCTTAGCGGGTCCTTGGCCTTCGTCGGCGCGTCCGTGAGGACGGCCTTGGCCGGCGCGAGGCTGTACGACCGATGGGCCGAGAACTGGCCGTACATGCTGCTGTTGATCTTCGCCTCTTCCTGTCGATAAGCGGAATTGGCCAGCTGCTCGCAATCCACCATGAAACGAAGCACCGTGTTTTTTTATCCAGTCGTTCACGCGTGGGAAACGGTGGGAAATCCAAATGGAGGTGGCACATGCCGCAAATACCGCACACGTCAACAACAACAGCGACCACAAACTGCGTGAGTTGAGCTTTTGCCGGTTGCTGGGCGCGACGGCCGCTCGATGCGACCGTGGTTGGGCGCCATGTCGCGGCAGCGAGCGGACCTGGTTTTTGCGCAGACATGGTCCACTCGCGGGCTCATTTATACAACGGAAGAGAAAGACCGAGAGGCGGCGCTTGCGCCTAGCACCCGTGCAGCCTTGTCATGCCACATACGGTCCTGACTCGTACTAGTCACATCCATCATCGAGCAACGTCATTCAACCACGTGCGGCAACCTTGAACGATGGCACGTTTGTTTCGGCACCTCAGAAATGATAGGGTTGTCATTGATGGGCAGCGCCGTGCGGGGCCACCGCGTCGTACACATGTAATGGTCCATCACGCACAGTAATCGCCAAGAGGACTCGCCGTTGTCGAGGCTCTGCTGTCTTTGTTGAAGGCGCACGGCGCGAACGTGGCAGCCTGGAATGCCGAATTTAAATAGGCTCAAGCATTTCCCACGTGTGAAATCCAAGTGAAAATGATCGGTGGGCACTTCAATGTTTTGGGTCGCGATTCAGCAAACTATTTCCCGGCAGCGACGGTGATTGGCCCAGCCCTTCTGGCCTTTTTCGTATCCGGCATCCCATCACGGTATCCGGAACTCTCCCATCAGTGCGTTCGAAAGTAGCTGCCGCAAAAGCACGAGGTCGACCGATGGTTGTCGCTTCTCCGAGTAGCTCGAACGCCTCAGAGAGAACCGGCGTTGCCAACAGCGTCGCCGAGGTTGCGCTTGACGGCGCGTGGCGGCGTGTGACGCTGACGCAGTTGCCGATCTTTGGCAATTGCCGCATCCTGTCTCAACGGCGGAACCTACACCGTACGCTGACCAGTTGGCTCGATTTTTCGCGCGCTCGTCGCCACCACTCGGTATATTAGGCTGGTCATTGCTTTCCCGTCGCGTTGGCAAACTGCAAGACGCCAACGGAGTGCTCAAGTGCAAGGCGAAGGCCCTCCATCTATAGCATGCTTTAGCCGTACCCAGCACAATATATAGTGCAAGGACGGACCGAATCAGGCTCGTTCGCAAAGTGACAGAGTGCGCCGCAACTGCAGGAGCTGCAGGCAGGTGCCAACGGCGTATGTGCATGGACACGCAGCTTCCCAAGCGCTTGGTCGACATCGTTTGCCTCGAGGAATCATTGCCAATCTGTATGGCGGCGTTGTGGATACAGTGTTACGCAGTACACTGTATGGTCCCACCGAGGCTTTATGACACGCCATTGACAGCGGCCGTGCTCGGATCGTGGGTACTGGGCGCCAAAAGGAGCCAAATTATCATGCACCGCAGCTCACACCAGCGGACAGGCCACGTACACGACGTTCTTCACGTTCTTCACGTTCTTCACGCGATAAATTCTGTCGTGTGGGAAATAGGGTGAAAACACACATGTGTGGAACGCGAGGTGGCAATCCCGATTATCCGGTACAGTATCCGTAAAGTGGCGTGCCAGTAGCTCGATTGGGTTAAACGCGTTGAATACGGTTTAACGTATTAGGTTATAATAATAATAAAATAGCTCGCAGCGGACTTTTGTGCGGACCCGGGAGTGGTCGCTAGCAGCATGAGCGGGAAGAAGAGCGTCGTCAAGAACCGCGCGCCGGCGCCGATCCAGATCACGGCCGAGCAGATCCTGCGCGAGGCCCAAGAGCGCAAGGAGGCGCCCGGTCGGATCGGCCGGCGGAAGATCGAGGACGACGAGGAGCTCGATGAGTACCGCATGAGCAAGCGCAAGACGTTTGAAGACACGATTCGCCGCCAGCGCGAGCACATGGGCAACTGGATCAAGTACGCGCAGTGGGAAGAGTCGCAGCGCGAGTTTGAGCGGGCACGGTCGATCTACGAGCGCGCGCTGGACGTCGACTACAAGAACCACTCGCTCTGGCTCAAGTACGCCGAGATGGAGATGAAGAACAAGTTTGTGAACCACGCGCGCAACATCTGGGACCGCGCCGTGACCTTGCATCCGCGCGTGGCCCAGTTCTGGTACAAGTATGCGTTCATGGAAGAGATGATTGGCAATTTGGACGCGGCCCGCGCGATCTTTGAGCGCTGGATGGAGTGGATGCCGGACGACCAGGCCTGGTACAGCTACATCAAGCTCGAAACGCGTGCGAACGAGCGCGCGCGCGCCCGCGCCATCTACGAGCGCTACCTCATGTGCCACATCGCCGAGCGCGCGTACCTCAAATTTGCCATGTGGGAAGAGAAAGGCAAGGACCTCGCCCGCGCCCGCGCCATTTACGAGCGCGCGCTTGTCGAGCTCCGCGACGACGAGCGCTCCGAGAAGGTCTACATCGCCTTTGCCGCCTTTGAAGAGCGCTGCAAGGAGATGGAGCGCGCCCGCGCGATCTTCAAGTACGCGCTCGACAAGCTCCCGAAAGACGAGGCCGTCGGGCTCTACAATGCGTTCATCAGCTTTGAGAAGCAGCACGGCGACCGCAAGCGCATCGACGACGTCGTCGTCGCCAAGCGCCGCGTGCATTACGAGACGCAGATCGCGGCCAACCCGCTCGACTATGACGCGTGGTTCGAGTACGCGACGCTCGAAGAGAACGAAGGCACCGAAGGTACCGTGCGCGAGGTGTACGAGCGGGCGATCGCCAACGTCCCGCCGATTGCCGAGAAGGTCTACTGGCGGCGCTATATCTTTCTCTGGATCAAGTACGCTGTCTACATGGAGCTCGTCGCCGACTCGAAGGACGAGGCGCGCCAAGTGTACGAGCAGTGCATCGCGCTGCTGCCGCATGCGACCTTTACCTTCTCCAAGATGTGGGTGCTCTTTGCCAAGTTTTACCTCCGCCAGCGCGACGTGAGCAGCTGCCGCCGTGTCCTCGGCGAAGCCCTCGGTCGGTGCCCGACGCCCAAGCTCTACCGGAGCTACATTGGCCTCGAGTGGATGATGGGCGAGGTCGACCGGTGCCGCACCTTGTACGAAAAGTGGCTGCTCTTTGCACCCCACAACTGCGCAGCGTGGAAGGCATTTGCCGACATGGAGAAGACGGTCGGCGAAACCACCCGCGCCCGCGCGATCTACGAGCTCGCCGTCAACCAGAGTCTGCTGGACAAGCCCGAGATGATCTGGAAGGCTTTCATCGACTTCGAGACGGAGCTGAGCGAGTGGGACAAGACGCGCGAGCTCTACGAACGCCTCCTCGAACGCACCAAGCACGTCAAGGTCTGGATCGCGTTTGCTCAGTTTGAGGCGACGCAAGACGTGGAGATGGCACGGGACGTCTTCACGCGCGCATACAACAACCTCAAGGAAGACGAGAAGAACGAGGAGCGCGTGACGCTCCTCGAATCGTGGCTGCAGATGGAAGACGCAAGCGGCACGACCACCAGCGCCCAAGCGGTCCGGAAGAAGATGCCGCGCCGCGTGCAGAAGCAGCGCATGGCGTACGCTGACGACGGCTCGGAACTCGGCCTCGAAGAGTACACGGACTACCTCTTCCCGGACGACGAGAAGGCGCAGTCCAACCTCAAGCTCCTCCAGGCCGCGCAGGCGTGGAGCCTCAAGCGGGCGCGCGCCGACGCCTGAAGCGCCTATCGGTCCCCACATCGATCCTCCGTCTAATCTTGTTTTGCATCTTTTGTGTGTTTGCTGCAGCAACCATTATGTTGGAGTGATTACGCAGCTGGTCGACCTTAGGCGGCGAGCGAGTCGAGTTGCATCCACGGCTACCAGAAGACGATGTGAGCAGAGCAAACAGAATACAAACAGTGTATGCACCTTGTCCTGGAGCGCCTGGAAGACGCCGCCCCACGTCGGCGAGAGAGCAGAAAAGATGTCGTCGGCCGAGGGGCTACACGATCATGACCGTGATGAGGCCAGCGTCACGATGAGGCGACGTACCGGTCACGCGGGTCCAAGGCCGTCATCTTGGCCACCAAGCCCATCTCGAGGGGGAAGGCCATTTGCGCTGCTGCGGGCACAACCCCGTGGCGCACCGCCGTGAGGACTTGGACGCGCTCCATGATGGTCGAAAACGACGAGCAGAGTTCGAGAAGCATGACGCCGAGCGCAAAAATGTCCGACTAGATGCGCGTTACTTTCAATGTTTCAACGTATCGAGTTGCACCTTTTCCGAATAAAACGTCGATTGGGGCGCTTGGCCGCGGCCGACTTGCTCGGGCGACGCGTACAAGAACGTACCGAGCGCCGTCGTGTGACTGTTGGTCGACTTGGTCGGACTCTCGACGAGCGTTGGCGACGGTGAGAAGCCATCGTCGACAGACGTCGCTTCGTGCATGTGCTTGGACAGGCCAAAGTCGCCGATCTTGGCGACGCCGTTCTGGAGGAAAATGTTGTCGGGCTTGATGTCGCGGTGGATGACGCCAAAGGCGTGGATGTGCTTGATGCCGCGGACGACGTCGGTGAAGAGCTGCATCGCCATCGCATGCCCCGCGCGCGTCGTGACGCGGTCGTCGCTGGTCGAGCGCAGCCACGACGCCAGGTTCGAGATGGACTCGGTTTGCTTGCAGAGCTCCATCTAGCGTCGTACAATATGAGGCCTTCCGTATACTCTGACAGAGACGAAACATGTACTTGGATGAAGAGGTTGATAGCGGGCAACGACGTCGACGACGTCCGCGCCTTGGTCGGCGCTTCGACGCTCGCGGCCGGGTCGGCCATCAAGTCCTCGGCCGACTCGAACTCAAAGCCGCACGAACTACCTGCGTCGTACGAGAGAAACTCCTCCGACGCCATGGACGCTTCGTCGTCGTCGTCGACGCTTGGGCTTGGCGCGACCACGTTCTCGGCTTCGTCTTCGAGCCACGACGTGTAGTAGCGCACAATGTTGGGGTGGCGCGGCAGGTTGGCCATCAAGTGCACCTCACGGAGACTCTACATTGGACGCATGCGGGCACGGTAGGTCATGGAGCGTCTCTACCTGCGTCAGGTGGCGGTTCTTCTCGCGGCTATCGGTGGTCGCCTGCACGCGCACCTTCTTGATCGCATACCGCTTGTGGTCGAGCTTGCTCTCGACCTCGGTCACGCACCCTTGACCACCCTGGCCCAAGACGCGCAGCGACTTGAAGTCTTGGTTGAAGCGCGCGGCAAAGTACGGGAGCGTTGTCAACGGCGCCGGCGCGACGGGCCGGTCGTCGGCGCGGGCAAGGTCGACGCTGCTGTTGCGGCGGGAGAAGGGCGCGTCGAGCATGGGCGACGCCGACGCCGACGATGGCGCCGTGCTTGCCGTTGACGACGTGGTCGAGTGCTCGAGCAACTTGCTATGGGCGGTGTTTGTCGCTTGGTGGGGCTTGGCTGAACGCTTCGGCTCGTAGTGGCGCGACGACGACGTGCTCAGATACTCGGCGAAGCGCTGGTGGGCGTGGTACTGCTTGTTGGGCGCATGCTTTGGGCGCGGCGCGTGGTGCAGCCGGTGCGGCGGCGGTGGCGTCGAGCCCTTGTGGAAGTACCCGATGAACGGATTCGTCTTGTCGACGACGGGTGTCTGTGGCCGCTTGAGGTTCCCAAGCTTCCCGAGCAGGACCGCGGCCGAGGCCGATGCGGTCAGAGACGTGACGGGATTCATGAGACCCAGGCGGCGAGAGCGGGCGGGCGGTGATGAGGTCCTCGGACGAGGTGCGGGACTTGGGAGGCGATGTGTCGAACCGAACCCCGAGCGTCATCTGGCCGAGACCCGGGTTGCACGGTTTTTCAGCCAATCCCATCACGTGATGAAATTACGGACCAATGAAACGCGCCGGGTCCCATCTCCTAGGGCCCCCGCCCCCAAGACGCGTATCGCGTGGCCCCCACCCGGGCCTATGGCCATGCCGAATTCTGTGCCCATCTCAAGCTCCCGACGGACGCGCTCGAGCGGGAGCGCCAAGCAGCAGCTTCACCGTCGCTGCAAGCGCATCTGATGACGTACTGCGACTGTCGACAGCCATTGGTGCGCTGCGCGTGGCGAAGACGCCAGATGCAAGTAGCTAACCAGCCGCACGGACGTGGGATGGCAAGCGTGGAAGCCTGCCGGTATCTCGAGCTCATGCCGATTGGGCATAGCGCCACGCGGCGGCTGCGTAGGCGGCTGCACGTTCGGCGCTTGATGGATCATCCAAGGCGCCCTTGATGGATCCTTCGCGTCGTCGCGTTGCGATCGTACCCGGGGAGGGGTACCCCCACCTTGCCGCTGCTCTTCTGGGTATGCAAAGCTACTTTACCCAGCCAAGCAACTTCAAGCAACCTGGGCAACGACCGCTGCGTCCGGCTCGACGAACCAGATCGAGTGAGTGTGATCAATCGACCACTTGGTAGCGATACCGGTATGACGCAGGGGCAGCAGGGAAGGTCCTCATCGCGCGCCCATGGAGGCAGATTAACTCGGAGCTGTTTTGGTTGACGCATCGTTCGAAGATCTTGATGACGATATGCTCCCACATCTCCTCGGTCCGAATGCGGAGATCCTGCAAGTGCCGTGACGTGGCGTCGGTGCAAGGAAACGAGCGGCGCGCGGTTCTTTGCTGACCGTCCGCGACGTACACTGGTAAGCAATGGAAGGCGCCAACTGCGTAGCGTTCGTCACGTTCCTGTAGCAGCAACGACAACTCTACCGCCGCCCACATCCAAGGACGTCGCAGGCCAACTTGCAGCATGGAAGCAGGACCTCTACTGGCTTCTTTTGGCTCGCACGACAGCTATTCTAGCACCTGGATGCGTTCGAACTACGGTACTAACATGCGCAAGCATTGGTATGTACCGCCCTCTTGCAATCCCACCACGTAGTTGCGTGACGTCGACGACAGGCAGCTCCCATATCTATCGCAGCGCAGCGATACCAGGTCGGTACCTGGAGACGATACAGCTACACCTTGTCGCGAGCTGCTCTGCCAAGCAGTTCTTCTCATACGGTGGGCGCGCCACCCGTAGTCGATGTGGTCCTGAATGCCACTTGGTTGTCGTCCTACATTTGTACAGCAGCGTGTGATCAAAGGAGCCATTTGCGGCTGCCACGTCATGACCGCCGGATGCCACTCGACTCTGATTGGCCAAACTTGAAACGCTCCACATCAATCGTGGCAAGCCGGGAAGAGCTAGTACGTACATAAATCTCCAAAAGACAAACTTTTCATCATATTATTTGACAAACGGCAGTGGTTTCTAACATTCGAATACGCGATTCTTACTTCTTGGTGGCCACGAGGACGGCCTCAATGTCCTGGACGCTCTTGGAGAGCAGGTCGCGCATGTCACCAAGGTCGTTGCGGTAACTCGCGAGCTGGAACATGGAGCCAATCGACTCGATGCCGTAGCCAATGCCGTAGCAGTCCTCGTTGACAGGGCCAAAGCTGCCGCCGTCCAAGTTGGGGCTCGAGAGCGTGCTCGTCGAGAGGATGATGTGGCTCATCGTCTTGTACGAGGGCAGCGTGTACAAGCCCGGGAGGTCGAGGCCCTCGATCTCGGCCATCTTGCGCAGGCCAAAGAGGTGGCGGTCGCAGCCTTGGCCCATCACACCGTTCTTCGTGAGCTCGCTGTGCTTCTTGACAGCCGAGCGGAGCGCCGCCGCTTGGTCCCCGACCGACGACGACGCGTTCTCCATCGCCGTGCAAAAGGCCACCGCCTCGTTCGTGCACGACCGGATCGTCTCGGTGCGGCCGTGCTTGAAGGCCGCCGTGCTCGCGCTCTCGTACGTCGAGACAAAGTGGCCATGGAGCCGGAAGTGGGCGAGCTGGATCGCCATCTGCATGACGCCGTCCGTACCAATGCCATGGGTCGCCCCAATCGCCTTGGTCACGGGCGTCTCCACCGTCTCGATGAGCAGCCGCTTCGTCCACGCGTCGTACGTCGACCGCGCCTTGGCCAACGTCGCTTTCGTGTCGTCCGAGAACGTAAACGACAGCGGCGCGGCCGTCGCCGACCGCTCGCCGCCCGGCAGCGGGCTATGCTTGATGCTGTCCGTATACATTTCGTTGAGGTACCGGAGGACGGCAACGCCGTCGCCCCACGAGTGCTCAAAGTTGACCGACGCCTTGCCGTTGGCCGCGACCAAGAGCTGGAAGCTCTTGTCAAACCAGTGGTTGCTGCCGTTGCCCGTGAGGAACGTGCGGGAGATATCGCGGTCCGACTCGGGCGACGCGTGCTCGAGCGTCACCTAGCACGTTCGTCAGACGAGTAGCGGCGAAACGAGGATGGCAGTGTACCATGAAGAGCGCGCTGTCGATGTCGCGGAGGCTCGCGGCGTTGTTCGAGCCCGATGCGATCAGGTGGGCGCGGGCCGACGCCCACTCATCACGGCCAAGCGTCGTCATAAGGCCCAGACCATTCGCCGTCAAGTTGGCCGGCGTCGCCAAGATGGCGTCGATCTGCGCGAGAATCTCAGCGTCCGCGACCCCAGTGCCATCGGCCTTGAGCACGTCAAACTTGAAGAAGTCGCTGCCGCGCTGGACGACAATGTGCTTCGAGTCGGGGAAGACCTGGAGCGAGTCCTCGCCAATGCCAGGGACACGCGTCGACTGGAAGAGGTTCTTGTACTGGCTCATGTCGAGCGGGTACGCGCCGACGGCGGCGGCGCCGTAGAACGAGATGGCCTCGGGCAGCATCTTCATGACGTTGTTAAAGAGCGCCGTCTTCGAGTGCTGCGGCTTGGTGTGGAAGACATCGGGCTCGAGCTGCTTGTCGCGCAGTGTGCGGAAGAAGCGAACCGACGACGCAATGAGCGACGCCGCGCGCTGGTTTTGCGCGTTCTTGGCCGGGTTCGGGTCGTCCTTGATCTTGATCTAGATGCGATTTGCGAATTGAGACAATAGCAATAGGCAGAGGCGTCCGTACCTGCGGGTTGACGTTGATCGCAACGGGCTGGCGGTCACGCACGTACATTTCGAACCACCACTTGTTGATGTAGCTCGTTTCCGGCGACGCCTTGTCGCGGGCCACTAAGGCGTCGTGGAGCTGCGGCCCGAGGCCCGTGCGGAAGGCCTCGACCTCGCGCTGCGTCGCCTTGAACTCATCGGGCGACACGACTGGCTGCACCGCGAGAAGGTACCGGTTGAGCGTGTCCTCAAGCTTGGGCACGGGCAGGCGCATGAGCGACTTCTGGAAGTGGTACGTCGGGATCACGGTCTTCTGCACGTAGCCGGAGCTAAAGGCGCGGGCGAGCGCGGGCGTCGTCGGGCGGAGGACCTTCATCTTGCTGCTGCTCTTCCTCGGGAAATAATGCAAGCTGCGTCTTTGGCCGCAGATCTTCCGACAGCGAGCCCAACTGTCGTTTTATACATATTGGTGCATAAAAACAGCTTGTATTTTTATTCTAAATTTTCTATGTAAACACAGCATTTGTATGGTACGGTGGTACGATTGCGTTGTATTGCAACCGTTTTTTATACAAAGTAGGATTAAAAATACCACCCAGACCCGATCAAAGTTCAAGGTGGCCTTGTGTTTCGTAAGCCGCTCGAGCTGTTTCGTAAGCGGTGAGTGCCACGGTCGTCGCAAGCGCCGACGCGTCATGGGATCGCGGCTCGGCGCGAGGTGGCAGAGGCGCGTGGCGTACGTGCATGGGCTAGCGTGGGCTTGCGGTGGCCTTGGTGGGCCGGCGACGGTGGCGATGGGCGAGGCTGTGCCCGCGACGCGTCGTTCCTGGCGTCGCGATGACCACAAGATCGCACTGTGTGAAGGGCGACCGATCCAGCACGCACGCCTGCGACCAGAGCCCACGACGCTACTAGTAAACCTATCTGGTTTGACGATGGTGCACCGGTAGACTACGACGGAAGGGGCTATGGATTACGCAGTTTAAATAATTTCAGCCGAGAGCACCTTGCATGCAGCGAGAGGGACGACGACGATCAGAGCATGAGGTGCGTGCACGCGAGAAAGCCGTCGGCCGCGCGCTTCTTCGCCTCGTCCTTGGCCATCGCCGTGCGTAGCTCAAGGTTGACTTGGCTCAGACGCAGCACCTCTTCGCGGTAGAGAAGCACCTTCTTGTCTGCGAGCGCGCGGCACTTGCGCTCTCGTGCGAGCTCATTCTCGAGCCATTGATTGCGCTCTTCGAGCGTGACGGCGGCGAGGACCTCGGATGCCTCGAGAAGGGGTGTCTCGACCAGCGGCAAGTAGGCAGGTGACCGAAAGCCCAGCGTCACCGACCCGAGCGCGAGGTTGCGGAGCGCTTCGAGGGTTGCTTCGAACGGCTGCGCCCGGACATCGAGTCCATCGATGAACTCGAGGATATCGCCGGGCTTGATGCGCCCGCTGGCTTCGCCTGGGCCCGGGAGACCGGACGGTAGCTTGTAAAAGGGCACGTGCTGGTCCACGACCGCCATCTCGTCGCTTCGAGTAAAATAGATGCCCAGCCCATATTGGTCCTTGACCAAGCACACGTCGTACGTATCGTCATTGGTCGCTGGCTCGACCATCATGCATGCATCGTACTCCAGAGGTCGACACGCGGGGGCATCGCCATGGCCGCCCTCCAGAGGTTTGCCGCCTTGAGCATCGTCCTGGCCCTCGATAGCCACCCTCTCCTTCATCGAGCTCGGTGACGCGACGGTCATGCTCACGTCCGTCATGGCCGTGTCGGGCGCGGCCTTGGCGATAAGCTCCTCGGCTCCCATTTCGGTATCTTTGTGGATCCGGCTGTCCGGATACGGGGCGCCCGTGGCGATCTTATCCGAATCGGCCGCAGCAGGTTGTATTCTATCAAGGCTAAAAACACCGTCTTCAACGCCTTCCATTGGCTTCGCACTTCGTTGTGCACGTCACTGGGCTCGAATACCTCCATGGTTGCAGCGCGCTGTTGCTCGCCTTGAAGCGCCTTGTCGAAGTGTCGGCGAAAGCTGCCCAGCAGCAAGTGCCCACTGCGATCTTTGGGTGCGATAGCGCGACGCTTGACATGCGATAGCAATATCAAGTACAAGTTGCGTGTTTTTAGGGCTTCAGATGAGGCCTTTGGCGCACACAACGTGTCGGTCGGAGCGACAGAGCAGCAGCAGCAGATGGACGACGATGCGGGCGTGGTCGAGTTCACCTCGGACGCGCAGCTGATCGAAGGAAGCGATGCGGTTATGGCCTCGACAGCGGAGACAGGGCTCGTCCTTGTGCCGTCACCGGCCGTCCGCTTCAAGCAGCTCGAGAAAAACACGGACTTGAACTTGTCGCCAACCGCCAAGGAGCGCCGCGTGCACCAAGCGTACCTCCAGCAGCTACAGGTGCCGCTGCGCACGCCTCGCCAGCCACAGATGTCACTGCGCCTCCATCACGGGCGCGTCGAGCTCGCCGGCTGCGGCTACGAGTACGGCCTACCCGAGACGACGCCGTACCGTTCGATGCCGGGCGCCTCGGCGCCGTCGACCGCGTCAGACGACCTACCCTCCTCGGGCAGGACGTCGCCCAAGGACATGCCCGACGTGCATTTCCTCGGGCCCGCCGAGAGCATCAAGACGCTCTTCAAGCTGCCGTACTCGCGCAGCCGCGTCTCGCTTGCGATCCACCGCGTGGGCAACACGCTCGTCGTCGACGGCGATGTCGACGAGACGGACCTTCCAAAGGGCTTTGACGAGTGCAACGAAGTGCTCCGCATCGGGCATAGCACGCCGCTCCTCGAGCAGGACCCGGCGCTTTTTGAGAACTTTATCTACCAGAGCACGCTGGCGCTGCCGCCGCCTGAAGCCGACGACGATGAGTTCGCGCCCGCTGTCTCTCTCGAGCCCAAGGCCAAGCCGTCCAAGGCCAAGCTCTCGGCCAAGGAGAAGAAGCGACGGGCGAAGCGCAAGAAGCAGGCGCAGCAGCAGCAGCACCCGAGCCTGTCGCCCTTGCATCGACCGCCATGGGATGACGATGCGACCGAAGAGGATGACACCACGTCGTCATATGCGTCGTCGTCCTCGCCGCTGCCCAACGTCGTCCCTGCGTTCCAGCGCATTTTGAAGTGGAAGTTTCACGACATGCAAATGGTCCGTCTCGTCCTTATCGATGAAGGACAATATTGTATTCGTTTTGTATTTATCATTTTCTCGGATACTAGTTACTCGGCAGCGACGTGCAGCTCTTCAGCAACAAGGAGCACCCGTCCGTGTCGCTCAAGCTCCATGACGCCGACCAGGACCTCTCGCTCTGCACAGTCCTCGACTACTACCTCGACAACGTCGTACGTCAACTTCAGACAACTTGTCCACGATGCGACATGCCACTAGATTGCCAACATTCCCGAACTGGCGATTTGCATGCATTCAAAAGGCCACGTGCGCGGGTACCAGCTCGTCGAGACGCGCGACATCCCGTACCTCAACGGCTCGTCGACGCCGCTCTTTGATGTCCACGACGTCAACCTCAACGCGACGATGCTCTTCAAGTTCCTCCAAGTAGATACACCTTGACCATCCCCATGACGTTGACTCGTGTGGCTGTAGAACAACTGCTCGGAAGCCAACGGGACGTACTGGCTGTACCGAGCAGAAGGCGACTTCTCGCTCCGCCTCTACGACGTGCGGATGCTTGCGCGCGGCCAGCAAAGGAAGTGGAAGTACATGATGGCGATGCTCTGCTACCGCTTTGCGTCGCGCGCGGCGCGGCTCATTTCCTCGGCGTTTGAAGCGCCGGCCCTTCAGACGCGGCTCCGGCACCGGCAGCGCGAGCTCTTGGGTACGTGTCTTGAGCTCCTGAAAGAGCTGCGTCGCGACCATGGCGGGTCCCGCGCGCAAGACTCGATCTCGGCGTCGGTCGCCGAGCAAATGGCCGACACGTACCTCCGCGAACTCGACGAGAGCAGCAGCGAAAGTGAAAAGGCTGCGCACCTCCGCAGTGCCAAGCTGCATTTGCAGACGAGCATCCGCGTGCTCGAGGGCTGCGTCGCCGACTACTTTGCCGAGAAGGACGCCAAGCACCACGCCACCGCGTCCACAGGCGGCCTTCCGCTCTCCGAGACCGTTCTCTCATCGCCGACGCTTCGGGGCGGAGGACATGAGAGCGGCAGAGAGGAGGATGACGACGACGACGAAGATGACGCCGTGGGTCTCTTTATGGAAGAAGAAGTGAGTCGACTTCAGCTCAAGCATGCATCAACCGCATTGCACCTCGCTGCCGTGTACATGGAGAACCACGCGATCGCTGATGCCCTCCGGAGCCTCCACGACGCCTGCGGGTTCCTTCGCTTCGATGCACTCCCGCCCCCGACGCCGCTCGCGCCCGTCGACTCGATTGCGTTCTTCCACTCGTTCCTGGACGACCTCGATTTTGGCGGCGTCGGCCACGCCAAGTCGAAGACGTTCCTCAAGCCGCTCTACAGCGAGACCGAGGTCCGCGCCAATGTACTCGAGGCGCTTGGCGACCTCGCGAGCAGCCAGCGCCTTGGCGACCTCGCGCCCGCTGTCGCGCTCACCTACCAGCTACTCACGTCGGCGGTTCGGCCGTCGACCATGACCAGTCTCCAGCAGGCGTTTGCACCGGCGGCCTTTGGCGACCTCGTGGCAGCCCATCGATCTCTCCTGGACGCGACGACAAACGTCTCGTTCTTGGCCTACCTGCGTGCGCTCTCGCCGCCCGTCAACGCCGAACACTACTTGTACGTGCTGCGTCCGTCCATGGCTTAGCGCTATGTGTGTAGCGTGCTCATGAAGAAGCTCGGGAACGCCGCCAACGAGACGGCCAAGTCGTTCTTGGCGCAGAAGGACTTGCAGCAAGCGTACTTGTGGTTTGAAGGCGGCAGTCTCCTCTTTGAAGCGATCGAAGGTACGACTGGATCTCCAACGTGTCGACGCTATGCCGACGAGCGTAGACGGAGCGAATGCGGCGCTGCTCTGTGCCAACTTGGCCAACTTGCACAAGATATTGGCCGACGCGGATGGCCGCCAGGAGGAGCACTACGCCAAGGCGGTCGGTCTCTGCACCAAAGCCCACGCGCTCTTAAAGTCGTCTCGAGCGAGTGAAGTCCACGCCAAAGTCACGGGCGAACTCGCGCTCACGTACCTCGTGTGGGCCGTGCGCTTGAGCTTGAACGCGCCCGTGCACAGCGACGCCGAGACCAAAATCGCCGCCAAGTTTAACAAGGCGCTGCATTTGTACCTCGAGATCAACGACGCGCGCCAAGTGGCCTCGACGCACTATCAAATGGCGTCCTTCTACAGTCGGCAGCTGGTCGGGAAGCTCGAGGCGACAACGCGCACCAAGATGGAGCTGGCGCGACGCCACTATGAAAAAGCGCTCTTGTACTTTGGCGTTGTCGACGTCGGCAAGACGTTTGTCATCATCCACCAAGAACTCGCGGCGCTGTACGCAGCCTCGGACAAGGTATTATCTCGCTCATCGCCCATCGTCGTTGAGTGCTTGTAGGCCGAGGACATTGAACACGCGCTGCTCGTGCTCCTCAACACGTACGAAGCGTACTCGAAAAGCCACCGCTTGTCGCTCGACGACCGGACGACGTTGGCGACGGTTGCGCCGAGCATCCTCGAAGGCGTCCAGACCTACCTCCTCCGCCTCGTACGCGCGCCATGTGCGACCAAGAGCGTCAAGCAGAGGAGCAGCGTCTTCAAGCAAATGTACAAGGAAGCGATCTGCCACCGCGACGCGCCGCTTGCCCAAGTGCTCTTGACGTTGCGCAGCTTGTATGCGTCCTAATGTACGTGGTTGACCGGCGAGTCGGGCAGAAATACAAACAAGTTGACCAATCTACATGGAATCCAGCCTACGCACAGGCCGGTGGGCTCTGGATACGGACCCACCAAGCGTCACGATGCACTTGGACGGCGAGGTCGCGAGCGGCAGCCGCATCGACCCTCGAACCGGTGTCGCCATTCCACCGCAAGCTGCGCACGACGGGCAAGCTCGCCGCGTAGCTCACGGCGAGGAGGGCTTCGAGCGCCTCTCCGTTCGTTTCCGAAGAGAGCTGGAGCGTGACGCCAGCGCACGTCGCCAGCGCTTCAAGCAGGAACGCATGTCGAACGCTTTGCGCAAGTCGTTGTGCACGGTGACACAGGCGCTGAGCGGACTCGCCGCGTGGAAGAGGCCATTCCCAAGCTCTTTGGCAGTCAAGGCGCTTACGTCGAGCGCGATGGCGCGCACGCCGCTGTTGATCCAGTTGTGAAGCGAGCGTACTACGGCGGCGCGGAGGTACGTATATTCCCTGTAGAAGGACCAAGCGAGCTTCTCGAGCGCCGGGGCGTGCGCCAAGAGGTGCATGAGGCTGTCGACGGCTTGGTCGGAGAGGATCACTTGGATCAACGTGGCCGATCGCAAGGCGGGCATGCCCGAGACCGGCAGCGCATCAACGTGATGGAAATCCGCGTGGAGCTCTTGCAGCGCAGTGAAGCGAGGGAGCGCGTCCAGCACGTAGCTGAGGTCGCTCTTGCAAGAGATGTAGAGGCTCGTCAGACGGCGGGGCTCAAGGCGCTGGAAGAGTTCCTGGACAAAGGGAGCGTCCCTTTCGCGCACTTGGACGCGCAGGGCCGAGAGGTTCTCAAACCGTGTTTGGCCATCGCCGTCGATGGGCGGAAGGCGACCGGCTTGCGCCATGTCGAGGTCGAGACTCGAGAGGGAGCGGGCGGCAACGACAAGGCGACGGAGGCCGTCGTCGGTGCGAGAGCTGTTGTGCTGGAACCCGTGGTGTTGAGTGTGTGGCGACGCAAGCCAAGGACCAAGGACTTTGACCCAGTCGCACTCGACGAGATTGGACGCGATCGTCAAGCGACGGACGCGGTGGTTTGGCGTCGTGACGGCGGCAATGAGCTCTGTGGCAATGAGCTCCGAGTCGGTGTCGGATTCGTTTCGGTGCGAGCCGAGTTGATAGAGCATCTTGGGCGAGATAGAGTCCACGGCCACGCTGAACGCATTGAGACTCGTGCACCGCCGAAGCGCGTCGCACAGCGGCTCCATGTGCTTGGCGTTGCGGACGGTCGAGACCTTGATGGCCTGGAGCTTGTGCCCCCATGTCGCAGCGAGCCACATGAACGGGCCCAGGTCGCGCTCCGACGAAGGCTGGTTCGGCGGCAAGTACTGCAACTTGTACACGTCTTGACGGACCTGCATGGCCGGGAAGGCCGACATGGCATCGACGACGAGTCCGGCGGCTTCGGGACGAACGCAGTCGAGGCTTGCACACGGCCACGCATACGAGAGCAATGGTACGTCGTCAACAATGTCGAACATGGAGCCTGTGAACGCGCGGTCCGGATCGCGGAGGAGCTGAAGAAGCGACGCCAGCGGCTTGCAGAGCGCGGGCGAGTTGACGGCGTCGAGGAAGACGACGACCTCTTCCGGCGTCTGCAAGCATGTCGTGATGGCCACGAGCGCGCCGTCCAAGGTCGCGATCGTCGTCGGCGCCGCGGCTGGGCGCTTCGTGCTGCTCATGTGCGTGGTCGGGCGCAAAACTGCAACTGCGGTCACAAGATCTCAAACTCAACCACATCAAACTCAACATGCCGATTTTCTGTGCTTTCTGCGGTGCTGCCACGACGCGTGTATCCGGATGCCTCAATGGCGGATTCGCGTCTCTTGGTATTTGTATGGCGGGATGTGCGGTATCCGGACGACTGGCAGCTTTCCCGCCCTCTCCACGTTGAAGCATCGTCGGCAAGCTATTGTAGCTATTGCCAAGGGCATACTATTGCTGTTCTTCGTACTACGGACGTAATACTAAGTGCTGCCCACAAGAGCAGGCGGCCCGTACAAAATCGGTGCTTTGCCCAAAGTTATGGAGCCCGGCCACAGGACCATGGGCACGCCAACGATAACCACCTGTTGAACAAGGAGCGACATGGCCATCGTCATGCGCTTGTAGCTACGGCCGGCGACTTCGCCACCGACGAGACACCAGACACCACTCGCTTTGGCGGTGCCGTTTGTCTGCAAACTGACGTCGATATGTTTATCTGAGACTGCTTCCGGCAACATGCAGCTGCAAGACTCGTACAGCGTCCTATGTGGCGACAGGACAGTTCGTCGTGTCCGATACTCTAGTATTCCTGCGACTTCCAAAAGCAAGAGAGATGTAGAATGGAGTGTCGGGTCAACGCCAAAGCCTCGCGCGCGCTCTCGGTCGCCCTGCTCCCCAAGAGAGCAAATGAATTCTACTCCAATGACCTGAACAACATCGCTGCTTGCAGCAGCCTCGTGTTGTCGGTGCAATATTGGTACTAGCAAAAAGACGTTTCCGGATCCGTTTCCATGTACGTGCTGGACGACCAAGAGGTCGAAGAGGCCGAGAAGGAGCGGCTCCGCAAGAAGCTCCACGCCAAGAAGCAGGTACTGCATCGCAACACACCAACTCGATGACAAACACAATCCTCTCGCAACTAGCTCAGCCCCGAAGAGGAGGAAATTCGCCAGCAGCAAGCGCTTGTCACAGCCAAAAACAAGTACTGGGCGCCGATCCTACTATTGTATCCGCTCGGCCCTGTCTGCGTCGCCCTCACGACCGTTGTCTTTGGCGGCGTCATCACCAACGCGGCGTCGACGACCTGCAATGCCCACCTCGACAGTACGTTTGCACTGTCGATATCTCCGTATGTCACTTGCCGTAGCCTTTCTGCAAGGCGCGGTCGGGCTCAGCTACGTTCTAATTCTCTTTTACGCCTACTGCTGGATTGGCCCGCGCCCGATTCGGCGGCTACGGGTGCTCAAGGTCTTTTACAGCATCTACGGCGTCGTCTCTGTGGGCTGGTACGCCATACTCCATCGTGTTGCAGCGGGTTTCGATCCGAGGTAGGTGGGGCTTTTTCGGGACGCTTCAGGCCGTGACCGCGACCGCGACCGGCTTTCAATCGTGCTTGAGTCAGTCACCGATGTTGTACCTCTTTTCGCAGTACCAAGTCGCAGTCTTTTGGATCCTCTTTGGTTTCTTCCTCTGCTTTGCCGGCAAAGAAATGCACGCGTACTACAAGGCGACCGACGACGGGCGCAAGGCGGCCGCTGCGGCCAAAGAAGCAAAAGAAGCAGCGGCGATGGAAAAAGCGGCGCGGACTCAAGCCGAGAAGGACGCGGCCGAAGCCCGCGAGAAGGAAGCCCAAGCCGCCATACAGCAAACCAAGGAGGAACGAGATCGGCTGTACGCTGGCGCCGACGACGAAGCCGACGACGATATCGCGACGGCCGATGGCCAAGACCACGGTGGGGACGGTCATGACGAAGAGGAAGAGGAAGAAGAAGAGGAAGAAGAAGAGGACGGCGAAGAAGACGACGAGGCAGCGGGCGATGACGACGACCGAGCCAACAATGCCTCACAGGAGGATGCCGACCGGCCCGAGACGGCACCTGCTGAAGACAAGGCTCTCGTATGAGATAGTAAACTGCATACATATTGTCTTGCGTGTACATTTGCTAATAGAACGATGCGTGCGAGGGGTAGGAGCGATTTCTTGTGAGCAGGGCTAGGGTAGGTTTCGGGTTAGGGTCGTCGAACACAAGCACTGAGGACCTTGGGTGCATCTTCCACAGGATTTGGCATCGCGTTAGGAAACTTGACGGCTTCGATGCCCAGTGTGTCCTGGCGACGACTCAAGAGCTTGGGAAGCAGCGATCAATGCGGTCGAAGCCGTTCATCATCAGCATACACCACACATAGCCGCCCACTTCAAAAGCTTGCCAGTGCCTCCGTCTCTGCTGTGCAATCGGCGATGAACCAAGAGTAGCTCGGTTGAGAGGAAGAGGACTTGGCTTATATAAAGTATTAATTACTTATTAAGTCGCCTGCGTCCAATAAGCTTAATGGGCTGGTGTGGCGCAGGACTTAAATAAGGTGCGCAGCTTACGCCACGGCTTCTGTCGGGTTGGGCACAATGCGGAGCGATGGGATCTCCGAGTTGAGTCCAATGATGCTGGACGCGTCTTGGCGGAGGACCGTGCCGCCAAAGCGGCCGTTGATCGCCCACGTGTTGACTTGGACGAATTGGTCCTTATACTTGGGGAGCATCGCGAGCTCCTGGTACACGATCGTGTCGTCGACCCAGCGACCGCCCGTCTCGTTCAAGAGCTCGTGGCTCGCCGAGTAGAGCGAGATGTTGCTGCCCGTGCGGCCCATCACGGGCTTGGCCACGTAGCCACGACCGGACGTGGCCACGTCCTTCTCTTCAAAGGACGACTTGAGCAAGAACGGGTTGGTCGGGTACAAGGTCGAGAGGATCGGCAAAATGGCCTTCGAGCCGGCGAGAAGCGTCCAGAGCGGTTCAAACACTCGGACGTTTTCGTCCAGGAGAAGGTCCATGAGGCGAAAGCCGGTCGCGGGCAAGTTGCCGCTCTCGGCGGCCTCGACCTGGTTCATGACCGTGCGCCAGCACCACGTTTTCCAGACGTTGCGGATCTCGCGATGGTTGGCGTCAAAGTACCGGCCATCGTCGGTCGATGTGATCCCGTCGAGACCAATGAGGAGGTGACACGGGATGCCCGCAGCCTCGGCCGCCGACTGCATGTACATGGCATGATACCGCTCTTCGAGGTCGTTGTCGCACATGAGATGGAGCGGCCCGTCGAGCGTCTTGCCCTTCCACGCCGCAACGAGCTGCGCAAAGAGGGTATGGCTGCTGCTGCGGCCGACGCTGTTAATGCCGGCGCCGTTGGACCACGCGTCCTGCGTGTAGCCGCACTCGAGGAGGCACGAGGCCGAGTCGGCGTTGTACTCGTACACCTTGATGCCTTCGTTCGTGAGCGCAAAGTCAAACCGACCAGAGATAATGTCGTGCTTGCTCTGCGCCCACGACGCGCGTATCTTGGGCCAGAGCGAACTGGGTATGTGGAAGAACGGGCCGACCTCGGCCTCGTGCTCCAAGACGTACTCGGTGGCTTTGTAGAACATCTCGTGGAGCTGGTCGGTCGCGACCTCCAAGCCGCGGTGGCCCGACTCGGTCAGCGTGTAGTACGTAGCAGACGGCGTCGGCGACAGCTGCGCGCCGACGAGCTCCTGGTACACGGGCACATACGGGCGCGTCGTGTCGAGCCACGCGTCGTGGGCCATGTCGACGTTGACGCTGTGCACCTCAATGTCCGAGGCAACCGCGTTGAAGCAGTTGCACGTACACGTGCACACGGCCGATGGCGTCGACGTTTTCGACATCGACGACGTCTTGGTCGCGGGCTCGACCTCGGAGAGCTTGAAGGCCGTCGTCTCGCGGAGGCAGACGACGGTCTTGGAGGGCCGCTTTGTCAGCTTGGCCTTGGGCGCCTGGTTGTTGTCGCTGAGCGTATTGCAGGCCGTCAACGGGCACGGACACGTCATCATCGAGTTGGTGCTATTGCTCGCCATGCTGCTTGTGCTGGTAGACGTTGCTTGCGGGTCAAAATGGAAATTGGGGAATGGCAACATGGCGGGTCGATGACCTCATAGAATGACGGCGGGTTATATGGGTATACAAACAATAAGCTTCGGATAAGAATTTAAAAAAAGTCGCGGATTAGATTCGAAAAGATACCGCGTTCAACGCTTTTTTCCCACGCCGCCGCGGCTGTTGGCATCTGGGATTGGCTGATTCTTGGCCAATAAGAGCGCGTGACGCCCGTTCATGTCTCAAGACGCGAGGCGCGCGGCGTTTAATTGGCCACGACGCGACTCTGAACAGGGCCGAATTCATGCTGCGTCAGGTTGATTGTCGAAATTTAATAATAATATTCTTGAAGAAGGAAAAAGGCGATAGGTTGTTCATGCAGGAAAAGCTATACAAGTTGCTGCACATGGAAGTTTGATCCGTAACACGTGCTTGCAGACATGCTACACCGACGGGCGTGGGTGCTCTTGGAACGATGCGAGAAGGTCGCATCGAGTGGGTGTCCCAATTGTCGAGATTTATTTTTCAATTGTTGAGCATTTTCGTTCTCCTGTTCATCGCCAACATGCATGCAGACGGAAGGACCGATGCGCGGGAGATGTCCAGAGTGGCGAATTCGCGGATGATTCTAGAATGCATTCGCACAGCAGCAGGTGCTACGACGATCTGAGTCGTATCCATGGCGTGCCACCGTGCGTTGGATTGAAGTGCAGTCGAGGTTTCCTTGCTCGCAGTCGTCCGTCCTTGCACGAGCATGAGCCCCGCACGTCCCGTCTGCGTCGAGCAGGTGACCAGATCCTTTTCCTCAATTACCTACCGCCAGTAATTTACCATCGTCTTTACGGCCAAAAAGGACAGACGTCGTCGCGGTATTACCTCCCTCGTGGCCCCGCGCCTCGCGCACAGAAGCCGCGGTCGCACGACGCCACAACGATAGACTATTCGTTGTCATTACGGGTCGTCCACAGCCCTGTGTTCGCCATCGCTACGGGGAACCTGACCCTTTGCATGTTGTCAAGATCCACCTCAGTCGCATCGTCTTGCCAGGAAGGCGCCACGTCATTGCAGTATAAAAGGATAAAGGACCTGTGTCTTTCGATATATTATCAAGTTTGCTGGGGCTTCGGAACGCATAGGATCGAGCCGCAGCCCATTTCGGTTGGGACGATGACTGCAAATGCGAACGGGGAAACGATCAACGTTGGCGGCAACATCTTCCGGTGGGCGCATGCTGCTGCTGATGCTGGTATGCTCATGCGTCGTCTAGGCTCGTCGAGACCATCGGCCGCGGCTCGTATGGCACCGTGCACAAGGCCGTGAACCTCGGGTCCGGCGCGGCCGTCGCCGTCAAGGTCATAAGCAAGGAGCGCCTCGTGCGCAACCCGGCGGAGCGCGCGTCGATCGAGAAAGAGATCGAGACCATGCGCGTCGCGGTCGAGCAGTACGAGAACGGCCACCCAAACATCGTGCGGCTGCTCGCGACCAAAGAGTCGAAGGCGTCGATCTTTATCGTGCTCGAGTACTGCGCGGGCGGCGACATCTCGAGCTACATCAAGCAGTCGAGCCACGGCCTCTCGATGGCGCAGACGCGCAACTACATGTCACAGCTCGCGGCCGGACTCCAATTCCTTCGGCAGCAGCACGTGATCCACCGCGATCTGAAGCCGGCCAACTTGCTCTTGAGCAGCCGCAACCCGAATTCGCAAAAGGTCAAGATCGCCGACTTTGGCTTTGCACGGAGCCTCGCCAACGAGTGTCTCGCGGAGAGCGTCGTTGGGTCGCCCTTGTACATGGCACCGGAGCTCCTCGACTACAAGTCGTACGACGCCAAGGCCGATCTCTGGAGCGTCGGCATCATCCTCTACGAGATGGTCGCCAAGGCCCACCCGTTCCTTGTCGTCGTACGCTCCATCTTTTGCATGAAGATGACTGGTAGGATACGTATGTACTAGGACAACTGCCATGCGACCAACCACCTCGCGCTCCGACGCAACATTGCGCGGTACTATGAAAAGTACAAGCACTTTATCTTGCCGCTTGACGTGCACGTGAGCGACGACTGCGCGGCGCTCCTCGAAGGGCTCCTGCGCCGCGACCCGACCGAGCGCATCTCGTTTGAACAGTTTTTCAATGCACCGTTTCTGCTGCCACCGCCGCCGACCGACGATACCGACACGCCGAGGTACGCTCCATCTCATAGACATGGCTCTTATGGACGTAGCACGAGTGGACCGCTCGAGGTGTCGGGGTCGCCCAAGCAAGCGCTCGTCAACCAAGGTATGTGTCGATGCATCTTAGCTAAAGGAGATGAGAGGACAACATAACCGTAGATTGGGCTGCCGAGAGCGACGAGTACGTCATGGTCGACATGGAATACGAAGACGTGGGGCGTGAAGTGCTCCAGGACGACTCGGTGCCGCGCCCACCGACGCTGACCGAGGACGAAGAGAGCTTGGAAGAGGCGCTCGCCCAGCTGCCGATGGACGACGTCGCACCGCCGACGACGACGACGCTCGCGCCGCCGCCCGCCGTTGCCAACACAGCGTGGCAGGCCAACGAAGAATGCATCGAAGAGCTCCTCGGCATTTGCTACAAGAGGTACGCGCTTTTTCGTCATTTTTTCTCAGCGCAGTCGGTAGTTTTCCCCTTGGCGGCGTGGCGCTGTTTGTCCCGACGCCGCTCGGCGACTACATTGCGTTTCACGAAGGCTGCCCGCACTACTACCTCTCACAAGAGTCGATTGAAGCCGCCAAGCACGACGACGACGACAGGTTGGTCATTTTTCTCATTATTTCCCAACGTTTACACGGAATTTTGCGCTAGAAAACCCAACTTTGTGCTCGGGTGCCTCGTGTACATTGAAGCGTTCGAGGCGACGACCGAGCGCAACCCGTACCAGATCCGGCTCGGGTCAACGTACCACGTGTGCATGGTGGCAACGCTCTCCATGTCGGTGATGACGCCGCGCAAAGAAGTCACCGAGTCGCCACCGACGCCAATGACCGAGTCCCCGTTCATGCTGCACATGTCTCCACAGCGAGGCCACGAGTTGAGTCCGCCCGTGACGCCCAAGCGCCAGAGCACGCCCGGCTTGACGCAGCACCAGCGCATTAGTTTCCGCACGTACGTCGTGCGCTCTCCTCAATACGAGGCGAAGCGGAGCTGGCATAGGTTTCAGATCAACCACTTGGCGCTCTTCTTCCTCAAGAACGGCAAGCTGCCGTACATGGCGTTCAACGAAGGCGCGCCCAACTACTACCTCGCCGAAGAGTCGATCGCGGCGGCGAGAGGCGGCGAGACGGCGTACCCGTCGTACGTCGTCGGGGAAATTATTTTTATTGACACGTTCCAGGCCACCGAGGTACCGGTTCAAAGCCCGCAAGCCGCACTCATTTCGGGGCTTGTAGGACTTCAACCCGTACCGACTGCCGTACGGGGCCCGCTTCTACGTGGTGACGGTCGCCAACCAAGCGTAAACAGAATATGGACGATCAGCGATATCCCCGCTAGCTTCCTTCCCTGCTGCATATTCTTCGTCCCTGCTGCATATCCTGTCGCCGCCAAGGGCCTGTCGATCCGCCAAGCTTGCCCATGCTGCATCCGAGGACAGCCTCAGCTGCTGCTGGTTCCCAGCCAGTCTGTGCGTTCGACGACTCGAGGGATCGCAAGCTACAGTTGCCGTGGCGGGCCAGGAGACGGTGCAGTTGACTCTGGCTCTGGGTGCGCGGGTGAGCTTGTGCGGGATCAACGAGGCAGGTGCATGGTACATTTAGTTTGGGGTTGAGAGATCTGGGGAGAGCCTATAGCTAGACGATCGAGCACGCCTTTTCATCGTGGCCAGGGGTATGGAAGAGACGGCTGAAGAACGACACGATCGCCGTTAGGGGTCTAGCGAGCGACGTGACGAGGTCATGCAGCAAGGGGCGACCCAGCAGGTAATACCTCGTGAGGACGTCTATCCACTTGGACGGCGCGCTGCCTCCGTTGATGTATCGAATGTACAAGTACGCATTGTGGTTGTGCCCATGGATCATGTAGTAGTCTACGCATGCTCGTTAGAGAAGCAGGGACATGGTGAGTCCTACCTTGAAGGAAGCGCAGGCGCTGAAACCCATTCTTCTCGTAGAAGCGAATCGCGCTATAGTTGTCGGCCTTGACGTGCAAGTAGAGCGCGCCGCACTGCGGCGATGAAGCCGCCTCGCGAATGCACGTCTCGAGCAGCACGGACGCAATGCCCCGCCTTCGGTAGTCTTGGCGGGCGCCGAGCGTGAGGATGTACATAAGGTTGCCCTCGCCCGACTGCAATAGCGCCTTGTCCTCGGCCTCTTCGACGCGCTGGATCTGCGCCGTGACCGCGCCCACGAGCACCTCGTCGTGCTCAGCGGCCACCTGAGTGAAGAGCGGCTCGCCCGTCTCCCAGAGGCCGTCGCCGGCGTTCTGGTAGAACGAGTCGTTGTAGCGGATCGGGAACCAGTCTTCATGGAGCGCCTGGAGCTGCGGGATGTCACGCGGCTCAAGCCGCCGCAGGACGAGCGAGCCGGGCGTGCTGAGCATGGGGCCGGTTCTCGTCGTCGTCGGTGGGCCCGCCCACGTGGGTCACGTCAGTTTATGACACGGTCCTTTATAAAAATGGGCTTCCCTTTCTTTTTATTATGCGCATAGAACTTGGATTTTGTAGAAACAATTGCACTCTTCTTTTTAATTGACGAGCAACAAGGTGTATTTTTGGCATGGATTGTTTTAAACAGGTGTAGCTTCGAAATACGAGAAAGTTCGATCGCACCGTGTTCGATGTATACACGATTTTATGCTATGTTATATATAGTGTTCGCACGATGCCTCTCGCGAGGACAGCGCATTGTCGTGCGTCGTTGTGCACGGCTTGCGAGTCGAATGTACATTGCATGAAGGATGCACTCCCGCAGGGACGACATCGTCTCATGTAGCAGTGATGAAAGGTCGCCAACGGGCGTTGGATCAAATAACACTATTTTAGCAACTAGCAGTGTGGATTGCACTTCCTTGCTCGACGATCAAGCCACATGCTGCGCCGCCTCGCCCTGCGCGGACCAAGCATGGGAGCGCGCCGCTTCTCAACGACTGCTGCCGCGCGCTTCCGATGTGCTAGCTGCGGCCAGGTCCACGCCAAGTGGCAAGGCCAATGCAGCGCCTGCCTTGCATGGAACACGCTCGACGAAGCCACGTCGCACGTTCGCCACCGCAGCGCCAAGCCGAGTACAACCGCAAAGGGCTGGACGACACAGACGCGACCCGTACGCATCTCCGAGGTACCCGCGACCAGCAACGTCGCGCGCATCAAGCTGCCCGACGCCGAGATCAACTGGGTCCTCGGCGGTGGCATCGTGCCTGGATCGCTCACGCTCGTCGCCGGCGCACCAGGTGTCGGCAAGAGCACGGTACGCAACACTGCTCATGGATCCACACGCTAATGACGATACTTCGTAGCTCTCGCTTCAGATTGCACACATGATGGCGGCCGCGAGCGCAGAAACGACGGGCAGCGTGCTGTACGTCTCGGGCGAAGAGAGCGTCGCGCAGGTCAAGATGCGCTCGGACCGACTCCAGCTCTCGGGCGGCGACCTCTACTTGGCAAGCGAGACCAACATTGAAAACGTCATCGAGACCATTGCGATGATGCACAAGGAGCGGCCATGCCACGGCGTCGTCATCGACTCGATCCAGACCATGTACTCGTCCGAGATCGCGTCGCCTGCCGGTACTCTACCCTTCTCGCGTTCGTACAACAAAATCCTTATGTGGACGCATACGCCAGGCAATGTCAACCAGGTCAAAGAGTGCACGCTGCAGCTGCTCCATCTCTGCAAGGTAGCCCATGTGGTCGCTATCCACATATCTATCGACGACGACTAGAGCGCAACGATTCCGATCATCATCATCGGCCACGTGACCAAGTCGGGCGACATTGCAGGTCCCAAAGTCCTGGAGCATATCGTACGCGCTCTCTCATGCAGCCTGCAACCAGAGAGGTCTCACTGTTGTGCCGGTTGCGTTAGGTTGATACCGTCGTCCAGCTCGACGGCGAGTCGCAGAGTGCGAGCCGGTTCCTCCGCTGCACCAAGAACCGGTTTGGCACGACGCATGAAGTCGGCGTCTTCTCCATGACCGATGCGGGGTTGCTCCCGCTTCAAAACCCTCTCCACGCCTTTTTAACGCCAGGTACCTTGCTTGCCTCCTATATGTTGGACGCGTCGACTTCGTAGGCATGGCGGCGCTGCCGTCGGAAGGTGTCGCCATGACGATCGCGATCGAGGGGTCGCGTCCGATACCTGTCGAGATCCAGTCGCTGGCGTCGGTGGCTGTCGACAAACCGACTTGTCGCGGCCACGGCGTCGCATACGACAAGCTGCAGCTCATCTTTGCCGTCCTCGAGCGCCGCGCCAACGTTTCGTTTCGAGCCAACCACGTCTTTGTCAACGTCGCTGAGGGCTACTCGCTCGGCGAACCGGCAGGTACGATCTAAGTTCTTGGATGTGAGTTGGATGTTGCAGTGTTGTAGCTGACTTGGCGCTTGCCGTGGCGTTGGCGAGCACCGCGACTCAGCGAGCGGTGCGTCCTCGGACGCTCTTCCTGGGCGAGCTCGCGCTTTCGGGCCACCTCCGCCCACCGCTCAAGCTCGAGCCGCGTCTCGCTGCGGCTGCCAAGATTGGTGTTGAAACGTGTGTGATTCCCAAGCTGCTCGATGCAAACACACCCGCGTTGCTGGCCAAATATGCCGGTGTGATGGAGATCTACCAAGTCGAGACGCTCGTCGAAGCGCTGCAGATCGGCCTCGTGCACACGTCGCCCGCGACGGCGTGTTGACAAGCGAACTATGCAAAGACTGTACACAAGTAAATAGCCGTGTCTAAAGGATATGTAGTTAGTGATAAGAAATGGACTTAGTGCTTCTTGAACTTCTTGGTCGGCGGGCCCTTTTTGAAAGGCTTGTTGTTGCCCGACACGTCCTTGAACTTGCGCTTTGTAGGTTCATGCTCTTCGTCGTCGTTCTCGTTCTCGGCGTCGAGGGCCGCGGCCGCCTTCTTGGCCTCGGCGGCGGCCGCACCCGCCTTGCGACGGCGCTCGACACGGCGCGCGCGGTTGGCTTGGTTGCGCGTGAGCTTGGCGGCCGCCGGCACCGTAATCGCACTCAAGTCGGCCTCGGGCGCCTCGGTCTCGTCGTCCCACGACACCGCGGCAGTGGCCGTCGGCTCGGTTGTCTTGGCCTTCTTCTTCTTGTCGGCCTTGGTGAGCTTGGCGTAGCGGCTGGAGCAGTCGGCGCCCGATCGGCGCATGGCTTCGCCGCTCGCCGACGTCAAGCCTTCGACAAGCGCCGCACCGCGCTTGCTCCACGAGTCGTACGCCGCGTCCTTGAAGAGCTCGAGGAGCTTCGCGTCGAGCTCGGGCGTCCACGGGCGACGGTCCACGAGCGGGTCGAGCTCCGTGTTCCAGCGGCCTTGGCACGCGCCGGCCGTGCGGCCCGGCACGCTCTTGGCCACGAGCTTCCAGTTGGCCTGATGGCCCTTGCCCTGCTCTTTGACGGCAGCGACGAGCTTCTTGTCCTCCTTCTTGCTCCAGCTCTGGCCAAACTTAGCCGACTTGGCGGCCGTCGTCGTCACCTCGGTCGTGGTCTCCTTCGCAACCTTCTTGCCTGCCTTCTTTGGCACATCCTTCTTGGGCGCCTTGGCGACGTCCGCCTTGGGCGCCTTGGTCTTGGCCGTCTTTGCTTCCTTTGCGGGCTTAGCTTCCTTCGCAGACTTGGCTTCCTTGGCAGACTTGGCTTCCTTCTTCGCCTTGGGTTCCTTGGGCGCCTTGGGTTCCTTGGGCGCCTTGGCTTCCTTCTTCGCCGTTGCTTCCTTGGCGGCCTTGGGCGTGGCGTCCGCGGCCGGCGCTGCTTGGATCTTCTTGCCCTTGGCCATTTCAATCAAATGCGCGCTTTGTCCAATCGTTTTCGGTTTGGATGTCATGGCCTTGTTGAAGCCCTTGTAAACAGGATATATCCTTGTTTCAAAACCATTTGAAAACCCCGCCAAGATACTCCCAACAGTCTCGCGCAAGTCGCACGTACTAGATCGTCACAGCTTGCGCACCTCCCAGCCAAGGCAAATCAAGGACAGTACTCTAGTTCTGTGCTCGCTTTGATCAGCAGAGGTAGACGAGCGAGTCGCCTCGGGCGAAAGCGGTCTCGACGAGGCGATACGGCTTCGATCTCCCACGGTGAAGGAGTGCTGACGCGAAGCTCTGAGGACAAGAAGGCGCAGTGATAAAGTAATGACCCCCCACAGCTGCGAAGAGTCGTCACCCATCCTTAACCGCCACCCAACGTGAGACCAAAGACCACATCCGCGTTGCCCTTTATAGTCCTTATACAACCTGTGTCCGGGGGTGGTGAGGCTATATTTGCACGCACGTGCGCACTTACGGCATCGCTTCAAGCTCCAAACCAGGCAGTCGCAGTCGTCCGGCTGCCGATGGAAACGTCTCTGCCGCGCACGTCGATGGTGACGCCGGCAGCTCTTGCTGAAGCAATGCACGGTAGTCCATTGTCTTGGAGAGACGAGAGCAACGGCCGCGGGAGCTTGATCGACACGTTCATGCACGTTGCAAGCGCGTTGAGCAAGGCTTGGGCCCCTGCGATAAGAAATGGGTTCTCCGAGAGATCGAGCTCGAAAGCGACTCGCGCCTGTGTGCCGTGCAGCGCCTCGGCGAGCGCCGAGACGTGGCGTGTATCCATCTCACAGTCTTGAAAGCGCATGCACCGAACACCGGCGCCGATGCATCGCTGGACCGTCCCGATGACACACGGCATGCGAGAGCCAATCCACGCGCACGATTCAAACGTGACCGACTCGAGGTGCGTGGAGTTTGTGGCCCATAGGAACAGAGCGTTCAGATTCGTCTCCAACACTTCAATGTTGGCCAGTGTGAGCGTGCGGAGCGTCGACGGCGCGGCGAAGGATGGACGAATCGCGGTCGTGCTGCAGAGTTCCAAGTGGCCGAGGCTCAAGCTCTCGAGCGACGACATGTGTGGAAGCATTTCGAGGAGACAGTTGCTGAGATCCGTCGCATACGCGCTAACCGAGAGCGTCTTCATCGTCGGTAACGGGAGCAGCGAGAGCAGACTCGGCGTCAATTCGCCCGAATGTACAAACGCATCGAGCTTCGTGAGCGATGCCAGAGTCGCACCGTGGGCGACAAGGCTGCTGACAACGCTGTCTGATGCGAAGAGGCGTAGGCTCGAGAGCGTCGGCGATGACGCTAGTGCTCGCGCCAGAGCCGTGTCCAGCGGACGAGTGTCAAAACCATCCAGCGACAAGTAGCGCGCATGGCCAGAGGCAAGCCAGCGCTGCAACGGCGCAACGACCGACGGTGTAGTCTCATGAAATGCATACCAAGTGAGATGAAGGTCTGAGACGCAGTGTGCCGGCGACGTCACGGCCTCGAGCAAGTCCAGTTGGCCCGGAATCCGGACGTCCTTGAGGTTCGTGCAACGAGACAGCACGCGGCTCAGCTCGTCGTGGTGCTCAGGCGTTTGAGTGGTGTAGTAGATGTCGGTAGCCGTCACCTTGGCGGCCCACGTCGCGACAAACCCGCAAAAAGGCAGGCGGAACGTTGGGTCCGCACTCGCGGACCAGCGCTTGCTCAGGCTGAGATCGCCGATGCAAATGCTGTTGAAGATCGAGATGGCCGCGACCATACATGTGAGCCTGTCTTGGCGGATGTCGTTGTCGAGGCATGGCGTGGGCCAGTATGATGCATCTGACGTGGCATCATGATACTTCGTCAAGAGGTCGAGGAGCCCAGTCAGTGCTGGCGAGCGCAGAGCCAATGGCAGCGCTTGAAGAAACGAGACGACATTGCTCGGCGACGACGTGTACTGGACGAGGAGGACCGGGACGTCCGGGACATCGAGCACCGATGGCTGCGCTCGGCGTGGTCGCTGGGCCATCGCGAATTGGTGGCGTCGTATCCGGATGACAAGGGAAATCCGGATGACCCGCCGAATCGGTGATCCGACACCTGCGTCTTCAGTTCAAGTGTCACGACCATGGTCACCGATCTCAAGGGCCATTTAGTGAGCCAAAGCGCAGAGAAGTGCAAGCCAGCTTTTTGTGCTTGGAGTGAGGCCGGTCTCCACGACACCTCGCAACGCACTGCCGAAGCAATGGCGCTACGACGCAAGCTGGTGACACGAATCGGGTCGCCGGGATTCGCTCGTCAAGTCGATCCGCAATGGTGTAGCGCGACGCCTCTCTTATTGTTGCATGCGTTGACGACGCATGCCATGCCGTTACCCTTTGTAGACAAATGCGACGAGACGCGTGTGGCCCGCCGACTTGGCGTCCCAGTAGTCGTACGACTGACGCCGATGATATAAATCTGTGTTGCCGCAACGTACTTGAGCGTAATGTTGGCGGCGGCCAAATTCTTCAGGTTGCGCGCGCGGTCGGACTTGAGCCACGATTCCTTCTGAATGCACAGCCAGCGCAGCGTTTAAGATGCGGCGGCAATCCCTTTGATGAGCCGCACGAGGTCGTTGGAAGCGCCTTTTCCGAAGCGCACCCGGGGCGCGTCGAGCTTCGGGCACGGCAGTTGCGCCAGCCACAAGGCTTCGTAAAGACCAGTTGCAGAGACATCGAGGTACTGCAGCTTGGTGCAGTGGGCCAGTCCCAGCGTGAGCTCGCGTTGAAAGTCACCGCGCACAGCTACCGCGCACCGCTGCGTGTTGCAGCTCGAGTTGCTTGAGCGACGCGAGATACAGGGTCCCCGCCGTAGGTTGGTGGCCTGATGAGGTTAGGTTACGCTCGCAACGAACACCAACGCGGTGTTCTCGAGGCGTGGAAGAATCCACTACTGGTATAGACGCAAATACGATAAGAAATGGTGCCACTTGGAGCTCCAAACTAGGCCTTCGCCGTCGTTCGGCTGCGAATGTAAACGTCCCCGTCGCGCACGTCGATGGTGACGCCTGCGGCTTTAGCTTTGGCGAGGTACCGTGGTTCCGTACCTTGGAGAGCCGGTTGCAGCGCAGGTGGGAGCTTGATCGAAACGTTTGTGCACGTTGCGAGTGCCCTGAGCAGGGCTTGGACCCCCGCCATAAGAAATGAGTTGTCTGAGAGATCGAGCTCGAAAGCGACACGCGCCTGTGCCCCACGCAGCGCCTTGACCAAATCCGAGACTTGGTGAGTGCCCATCGCACAGTCTTCAAAGCGCATGCATCCAACACCGGCGCCGATGCATCGCTGGACCGTCTTGATGACGCTCGGCTTCCGCGAGCCAATCGACGCGCAGACGTTGAACGTGACTGACTCGAGGTGCGTGGAGCTCGTGGCCCACTGGAAGAGCGCGTCCAGACTCGTCTCCGACACTCTAAGATTGGCCAGTGTGAGCGTGCGGAGCGTCGACGGCGCGGCGAAGGACGGCCAATTCATGTTCGTGCTGCAAAGTTCCAAGTTGCGGAGGCTCAAGCTCTCGAGCGACGGCATATGTGGAAGCATTTCGAGGAGGCTGTGCTCTCTTCCAAGCGTGTCAACCGAGAGCGTCTTCATCGTCGGCAACGGGAGCAGCGAGAGTAGACCCGACATCAATTCGCCCGATCGTATGGAGGCATCGAGCTTCGTGAGCGATGCCAGCGTCGCACCGTGAGCGACAAGGCTTTTGACAACGCTGTTCGATGCATTGAGGCGTAAGCTCGAGAGCGTCGGCGATGACGCTAGTGCACGCGCCAGAGCAGTGTTCACCCCAGTGTCAAAACCATCCAGTGACAAGTGGCGCGCATGGCCAGAGGCAAGCCAGCGCTGCAACGGCGCAATGGTCGACAGCGTAGTACCGCGCCATGCGTACCAAGGGAGGCGGAGATCCGAGACGCAGTGCGCTGGTGACGTCACAGCCTCGAGCAAGTCCAGATGGCCCGGAATACACACATCCTTGAGGTTCGTGCAACGAGATAGCACGCGGCTCAGCTCGTCGCGGTGCTCGGGCTCGTCAATGTCGTTGTAGATGTTCACAGCTGTCACCTTGGCGGCCCACGTTGCGACGAACCCGCAAAAAGGCAGGCGGAATGATGCGTCTGCACTCGCGGACCAGCGCTTGCTCAGGTTGACGCCGCCGATGCGCATGCTGCTGAAGACCGAAATGGCCGCGATAATGCGTTTGAGCTTGCCTCGCCGGACGTCTCCATCGAGGCAGGGCGTGGGCTAGCACGACGTATCTGACGTGACATCACGATACTTCGTCAAGAGGCCAAGAAGCCCAGTCAGTGCTGGTGTGCGCAGAGCCAACGGCAGCGCTTGGAGGAACGAGACGACATCGCTCGGCGCCGACGAGTACTGGACGAGGAGGACCAGGACGTCTGGGATATCGAGCACCGATGGCTGCGCTGGGCGTGGTCGCTGTCGCTGGGACATTGTGAATTACCACCATATCCGGATGAAAAGGAAATCCGGATACGGAGAAAGACTGCCCAGAATCTGTGAAAGGCTTCCTTGTCGTGGCATTGCACCTTAAGGGAAGCGTGAAGCTGACTTGTATCAGCTATGGGAACACCTTGCGCAGCAGACGCGCAGTGTCTTCATCTCCGTTGGCTTCCGCCACCGCCACAAGACTGTGCTACTAGCAGTGGTCAAATACCCTCTTGAAGCTCATGGTGTCACCTCGGAACTTCCGAGGTGACACCATGAGCTTCAACGATTGCTTCCGAGTCGGAAGCAATCGTTGGTCTGCAGCAAGGACTGCAGCGACCGTACTGATCTCGCCACTGTTTACAGCCGCTCGAAGCACCGAGTCCCCATCCTACAAGCGCAATGAGCCTAGTTGACAATAGCAAGATGGCGAAAGGACATGGTTATAGCCGTGTACGTCAGCACCCGCAGCAGTCAAGGTTGTGACGATTTGCGTTCGGCCATAGTCAGCCGCCAGGTGTACCACCGAGCTTCCTTCCTAAACCGTTGGAATGGACTATGTATCAGTCACTAAGATTATGGGCATGTACGTCATTGACAAAGTTGACGTCGGCCTCCGCAGCAATCAGTCGCTGGACGATCGCAAGGTGCCCCGCACTTGCGGCGGCGGACAGCGGCGTCTCGAACCCCTGTCCAACGTACATGTCCGCGAAGCTAGATGGAGATTCGTGTACGTACCTGTAGCGAAGGCTGGTTCACGTCTGCGTTCGCACGCAGCAGGTGATGGACGATGTCGATGTGGCCGTTGAAAGAAGCTAGTGTCAGTGGCGTCATGTCGCTCGTTTCCTACGAGACCAACGGCAACATGACCACTCGCTTCTTGACGTCAATGTATGCGTACAAGACACGGCTGGTTGACGTCTGCGCTCGCCGCAAGGAGTCGCTCGACGACGTCGGCATGGCCTTCGGTCACTGCCATTGCCAGAGCTGTTGCACCAAACCACTAGGACCATAAGATAGCCTTCGTTGACGAGTAGGAAGTCAGTAGCGTACGGTTTTGGACGTGTTGGGATCCACGCCGGCCGCCAAGAGTCGACTTACGGTCGCGACATCGCCCTTGGCTGCAGCGCGCGCCATCTTTCGGGTGTCCTACGAAGCAGCCACGATCGACTACGAGCTCTAGCGGACGTATGGACGTCATTACCGCCGAACTATAGAGCCACTCTATGCCAGAGTTGAGCGCTTTGAACCCTTGCCACGGCGACGTAAGTGAGCGCCCGTGCGGCGGCGCCTTGGTCGACAGGAGCGCAGCGCCAGACAGGCAAATTTGCTGCGCTGAACCCACAAGGAGGCGTGGTAATGGCACCAAGTGGCGACCGCGTCCAAGGTACTGGGCCATCATCGGCAATCTCAAATTGCGCTGCTCGGTTTTGGCAGCGCGCCCGATTCCTATCTGCGTCTGATTGGTCAGCTATAAATTGACGAGCCAATCTCATCGTTTTTCACGCATTCATTTCACACACACGTGAAAATCTCTTGCGGCAACCTTGCACTGCCAGAGTCTTTGGATGCAAGACGAAGACGAATCCACTCAATGGCCTTCTTATCGATCCACAAGCTTAGCCGGAGGCGTCTGACCGGATCTCTGTGGTCCAGATGAGCGGGTCCGAGTTCTCAACAATGATCTCATCGGCGAGGCAATGGTTGGAGCTGCTCACAAAGCCACTGACGGCGGTCTCAAAGTCCGTCATGTCCCACTTGAGGCCTTGCGTCGTCAGCGCCTTGCATGTGCCACCTACATATTGCGCATGAGCCACGCTCGACAGCATGTGGCGTGTACCGAGCGGAATGAGGCCACAGGTCCGCGACTCAATATCGAAGTTGGGTCGAATGCAATGCTTTCCAGGCGACAAGAGCATCACGGACGTATGGTCGGAGAAGAGCGTCATGCTCTCAAAGACGTGGGACCTACGCATGCTCGCCAAGACGACGACATGTGCATCAGCCGTACCAGCGGTAGAGCGCGCTGATGTTTTGAATCTCTTGGTCGAACCGACCGCCCATCGCGCCGAGCATGAGCACCTTGAGCTTGAGCGCCGACGCATCGTTGCCGTCTTCTTTGCCGGGCATGCTCGCTTGAAGCGACTCGAGTAGTGCGAGGCACTTGTCCAAGTCGTTCGTGTCCTGGTCCGGGTCTTTCATGATAACGGTACCTCTCGCCTCAAAGAACGCCGACACGTCCGGCCGCAGCGAGTCCAAGTCGCCCTTGACGTACTGCGGAATCCACGGCTCGTCCTTGCCCGCGGCGCGCCACGTATCATAGAGCTTGTTGGCGCCGCCATCCGCGCAGATGGTGACCGTCGCCCGCGGCCAGAGCGCCTCGAAGCCTTTCACGAGGCCAGTGCCGTTGAGAATGACGAGTGCGATCGGCGCTTCGCCGGCCACGCGCCGTGTCAAGCACGTGTTGTCGTAGATGCGCATGAGGCTCGACCCAATTCGGCGATGCATCCAAATGGGACTGGCGGGCAACCGTCAAGTGCCCGTATCCGGAAGATTTGCCGACCGGATAATACACTGGCTTGGGTGACCGACGAGCTTCCCGCGCAGTGGCGAAAGCTGCCGTACCTCGTCCTCGCTACAGCTAATGACATGCGTCTCGAAGGTGCATACTCGAGCGCAGCGCTGTGACCAAGAGAAGCTGCAAGAGCGGCCGACTTGCTGTCCAGTGATGTGAGATCCAAAAAGGTGGTGCGGGCCCCGTGGCCACCAAAGCTGTTGACAGGATGAACTCCAATCGGTCTCTCGCATGTACTCGTAGTTATCTGCGTGCTACTGGCAGTCCCATCTTGAGATGATGGATAGAGCAGGTGACCAAGCATGCTCTCTCTCTCTTCCGAAGAGGATGCAACATGCCTACTTCAACCCAACGTTCTCTGCATTCAGCAAGGATAAGGTGGCGTTGAAGGGCATGCCCGGTGCAGCATACACGAGAGAAGAGAAGAGCTCGCACACACACGTCTTGTTGAAGCGTTATAAGGCGCTCTCGTCGCATGAGATGCAAAGACGACGAACTCACGTTACCTTCTGCGCGTGGCACCACCCTACAACTGCCAGATCGCTTCCGGGAACGCCAAGTGGAGCTGCACGATCTTGTCGATGCCTTCAAACTCGAGCGGGTAGATGCCATGCGGGTCCGCGACGATGGCCTCGTTGGCCAGCTCGTCGATGAGGTACATAAACACCTTGAAGACGCCGGGCGATGTCGGTGCAATCGGCTTGGTCGTCCCCGGCAACGGCGTCTTCGTGATCTTGACCGCGGTGGGGTACAAGGCCTACACTCTGCTTCCATGCGTGTCACCTTTCCAAGCGCATGTACCTTGAGCGGGAGGATGCCCGCACGCACGCCGGCCTCGATCTCGTCATCAGTCATCTCGTTGAAGGGCTTGGTGCAGCCCGGGAAGATGTACCCGGACGCTGGTGCGGAAGCTGCCGCGGGCGCCGGTTGCGTCGCACCGTTCGCTTCGCCCAGTTGGCTATTCGTCGCCGGCGTCGCGTTCTCCTTGTTTCCTTGCATCTTGCTCGCTGCTTGGCGGATTCGATAATGGCAAGTTGGAGCAAGATCGCTTCCTTGTTTGTGGTTATTTGTGGCTTCGCCATCTTGTTTGGGGCTCGATGTGGCTATATGTGGCATATACCACGGAAAAGCGGCTTGCCAGGTTGAAGTGCGACCGACCGACGGTAGGAAGCATCGACACACGATGCAAGACGCGAACGAGTAGCGACACACAGGACACGTGCTGTATTAGTGCAGTTGGATCATGGTGATCGTCGCTGTGCGGTCGTCGCCGACATAAAGCGTGCACCCGTCCTCGTTGATGTACGTGGCAATCGCGTTCGGTCGGTTGGCCAGCGGAACCATCACCGCCGCCTCGTCCGCGCTCTGGATAGCAGCCTTGTAGTCCCAGATCGCAACCTACAGGAGCAATGTAATTCTGAGATATTTTCTTCCCGAGGAAGTTTACGCACCGTGGCGTCGTTGGCCGCCGAGATGAGGTACTCCTTCCCTTGCCACGCGGCAAACTCGACGCAGGTAGCCACCGCGCGATGGGCCGTAAGTCGTCGCTGGAGACTGCGCGAAGCAAAGTCGAGCAACACCACGGACCCGTCCCCGAGCGCCGCCGCCAACGACCGCCCGGCCGCGTTGAAGGCCAAGTCGTACACGAACGGCGGGTTCCACATCTGCGTGCCGTCAGCGAGCGCATCGTCGCCAATGATGTCTTGCATACTGAGCTTGGCGCGCATGCGGCCGCTGCCACGATCACCGCTCACTTCCCAAAAGACGAGCTGGCAGTCGTGGCCGCCCGTGACGAGGTCGTATCCGGCGCACTTGGGGCGGAAGGCCGCCGACATGCAAAGGTTCGTGTGCTGGCCGCGTAGCGTCGTCTGTAGTGCTTTAGTCTGGAGGTTGACGATGCCAATCTCGCCTTCGTCGTCGGGCACGGCGAGCCATGGCTTCTTGGCATGCGACGGATGCACCGCGAGCGTGTTGATCTCGTCGGCCGCCGGCTCCAAGATCGTCGTTGCTTCCTTCACTATCATACCCGCATTGCGCAGGTCGAATGTGTAGAGCTGGTTGTGCGATGCCACGTAGAGGTCGGTCGCCGACGGAAACGCGACCGAGCTCACGGCGTCGCCAGCAAACGCTTGCGTGATGCACTGTGCGACCTTGTTTGTGCGCAGGTCCCAGATGCGAACCGTGCTGTCTTGGCTGCCAGACGCGAGCAGGTCGGGCGCGCCGCTCAAGCACTTGGCCAAGCAGTTGACAGGTCGCTTATGGCCGCGGAGGACGCCGACGTCGCGGTGCTGCATGTGTGCCATTTAGAAACGCCGACGGCCATTGG